TATATATATACATTATACCATTTATCTCTCTATCTTTCTATCTTTCTATCTATTTGTTTGTTTATTTTTATTTTCTATACTGATACATAAATATTTGTTTTGTAAATGTATTTTTAGCTACAATTTTTGTTTTTTTTTTTTTTTTTTTTTTCTTTTTTTTTTTTTGAATATTCCCACACATGCCCACACAAAAATATAATAACCCACACTATTTACCACAATTAAAAAACACACATATACAACTAAATTTAAGAATTCTGCAAACTTACTGCTGCTACTTAAACTATTACTCTGCATAGGGAAAGAAAGTTTTATAATATTTTGTTGCGTTATTATTGTGTTATGCATTTACGTTATGAAAATTATATATCTTTTTTTCTTTTTTTTCTTTTGGTACTAATTAATTAATTTTTTCCCTCTACATAAACACACAAACATTATTTTTTTTAATTTTTTTTATTTTTTTCAAATATGTAATTTGCATTATTCCTTTTTTATTTTTATTTAAAAATAACACACAATATAAAATTAACGAAATAAGATTGATGATTTTCGAAATGACACTTCTTTAAAAAGACTATTAGATATGAGATTTTATAGGGCACAAACAAGTAAACTAGCTAAATAAATGAATGAATGAACAAATAGACAAATAAGCAAATAAACAAATGAACAAATAAACAATAACAAAATGCTTTAAAGAAACAAAAAAAAAAAACACACTACCATTGTGTTGTGATTAAAAACATACCTTTTTTTTTTATATGTTTGATATGTTTGGGTTTTTTTTTTTTTCTCAAAATTTTGTGATATTTTACTTGTAATTTTTATTTTTTATAAATAAATAAAAACAAAAAATAAAAAAAATAAATAAATAGATAATAAAATGAATAAATAAAATAAATAAATAAAATGAAAAGATATATATAAAAAAAAAAAAAAAAAAAAAAAAAAAAAAAAAGAAAATAATAAATAAAAAAAAAATAAAAAAAAAATAAAAGGCGTGATTCTTTGGCCCGTTTTTAGTGGGGAATTTTCCCAAAGGCGGGGGGGCCCCGGTAAAAAAAATAAAAAAATAAAAAATAAAAAAAAAAAAAATTCATTTTTTAATTTTTTTTAAAAAAAAACTACTACTAGTTATATTGTTGCATCTGTAGATAATAAAACAAATACAATATCACCCAATAAACAACACATAACGATAATTGTGAAAACCTCGCGGGGATACTATAATTTTACAGCATATTTTCAACAATAAAATAAAAGTAAAAATAAATTAATAGAAATTTTAGAAATAATTTAAAAGATATTATAATATACATATAATAATATTAAATAATACAAAATATTCAAAGTAGTTAGGCTGTTGTTATATGTCAATATTTAAATAAAGATAAATGGTTTTATTCAAATAAATAGTGATAAAGCTTTATAGTTAAAACAAAAATGTAAGAAATAATTTCTTTTCATACCACCCACACACATCAGTTTATATGCATATTTTTTTTTTTGTTTTTTTACTTTTTTATTTTTTATTTTTTGGTTTTTTAGTTTTTGGTTTTTTTTATTAAATAAAGATTACAGTCTTTAATGAAATAAACCACCAAAAAATATCTTTATTATTTTTTTATTTTCTTTTTATTTCAATATTTCACCATTTTAAAGATTTGATTTATTGACATTCTAATTTTTTTTTTTTTTTTTTTTTTTCTTACCCCATTTCAAAATTTGATTGGGTTTAAAATATCTTTTTTCCTTTTTTTTTTTTAAATTTCCCTCATATCAAATTTTCATAAAGCGTAATTCAATTTGTGATTGAAAAAAAAAAAAAGTTATTTTTAAAATAATACAATCAAAAATAGTGCAAATTTACAAATTAAAAATAAAATTAAAAATAAAATTAAAAATAAAAATAAAATTTAAAAATAAAAAATAGAAAAAAAAAAAAGAAAAATGGGTATCACAAAAACAATTAGCAATTTAATTAAAAAGTACGGTAGTGTGACAGTAGTAGTATATGTATGGTGCATAGGTATAGTGTTAGGGATGATAATGTTTAATATTCAGCCATTATTGGAAATGTTGCCATGGTTTCAATTCACAATTAGTTGCAATATGTTTATATTTTTTTTAGAATTATATTTGGATATAAGACAATCATTCACAATCAGAGCATTCAATTACCCCAATTTCAACTACCACGAAATTAACTATCATATTGTAATTATTATATCAAACTGATTAATTATTATATCAAAAAAAAAGGTACTAATTTTTTTTTTTTTATATAGCAAAATATTTTAGGGTTAATTAATTTTTCAAGAATCGAATCAACTATTGGATTTATAATTGAATGTTTAGTATTATATTTTGGAGTATTAGTTAATGTATACAATTTAAATGATACCATTTTTTATTATTTTGGATTTAACAGAAGTTATGAAATAACTAGAGGTATGACATATTTGTTAGAGATCAGTTTGGTCAGTTCATTGGTTAGATTACCCTTTGAAATGTACAGAATTTATTTAGATCAACCACCAGTCAAAGACGATATTGACAGTGCCTCAACTACCGCCACACCAACCACTACAACTACACCAGCAAACCCAACCCCAACTTCATCAACCTATAACTACAAAAAGAAAGATTGGATCAAACAGATTATTTGGGATCAAATCAAAATGTTTTTAATTTCTTTATTAATCGGATTACCAATGTTAACCATCACACTATCAATGTTTTATTGGCAATACCCATATCAATGGCTTACTATTGTAATTTTTGTATCGATAGTAGCATTGTGTTTCTCTGATCTCTACCCAAATATTGCATATCTATTCAATAAATTTACTGTGTTGGAAGAGGGAGAGCTTAGAAACGAAATTATTGAATTATCTAGAAAATTAGATTTCCCACTTCACGAAATCTATACAATGGATGGTTCAAAAAGGGTATCGCACTCCAACGCGTTCTTGATGGGCTTCTGGACAAGTAGTTTTGTTTTATATGACAATCTAGTTACAAAATTATCTACCGAAGAAATTCTAGCAATTATTGGTCACGAAATTGGCCATCATAAATATTTCCGTAATTATCTATATATCCATACTATTTATAAAAAAAGGTATTAACTTTTTTTATTTATTTTATTTATTTATTTATTTTAGATAATATGAAACATTTATTAATTCAATTGGTATTTGTTGGTAATTTTATTTATTTATTTTCAAGTGTTGTAAATTTACAAGTTTTTTATAGAGGATTTGGATTTGAAAGAGTGGATGTCAGTGTTGGTTTAGTTTTATTTTCATATTTGTACAGTACATTTGCAAATCTACTTAGATTTGTAACCAATTTAATTAGAAGAGAGTTTGAATATGCAGCCGATGCATATGCCATCAAGCATGGATTAGAAATGAAGAAGGCATTAGTTTCAATGCATGGAAAAGGTGTATATATTAAACCAGACCGTTTCTTTTCTCTCTACTATTACTCACATCCAACCTTAATGGAGAGATTAGAGTCCATAGATTTAATCAAAAAGAATTTAAATCAAGAAGAAATTATAAAAGAAACAAATAATATAAATAATAAAAAATTAGATTAATGTGTATATGTATATATATTTAATTTTAACTAAACAATATTAAAAAAATAATATCTTTTTCTTTTATTATATAATTTAAATTTTAAATTTAATAATTTTATTTTTATTTTTTTTTTAATGTTTAATTTAAAGTAAAAATGGAATAAGGATTTTTCTTGATCTTGGGTATTTATCACCAAATTCTCTTCTATATCTCTTATGTTTACCAACAGCCCAAACCCACATTTGTGCAGCACCCATTAAAGTAAAGATATATGAGGTAAGAGTTTGAGTTAAAATTGAGAAACCAATCCATGAAAGAATTTCGACAGTGTAGTTTGGACATGAAACTAATTCAAATAAGAAACCACGTGGGATTTTACGTTCGGTTGAACCAGCTGGACGAAGATTTCTTAACATAATGTGGCAAATTAAATTGGAGATTTCACCAAAAATAAAGAGACCAAGACCAATATAAACACGTTCCATTGGTGGTGGAGTGAAAAGTGGATGGTTAACAAAATATGAAACCATAGCAGTGCAACCCCAATAATATGAGCAATTCTTGAAAAGATTGAAAATTGGCATAGTACCATTACTGAATCTGTGAACGAAAAGAGTTTCTAAAACTCTTTTAATATAATGTAATGAATAACAAATTAAGGCAATACTAATAGTAAAAAATAAGAAATAAAAAATTAGTTACTATTTTAAACTATTATCACTAAAAATATATTATATAATAATATATTTACTTTTGTACTTGAGTTTTTTCAGTATTAGCATAACTGCCATAGAAGATTGATGGAAGGAAATAGAAAAGTGGATAAACAAATAATGGACCTGCATATTCACAAACGAAAACTAAAGTCCATGAAATTTGTGGACCTAAATCTTTATAGTAAATGGTACCATCATTACCAACGAATTTGCTAACTAAATCTTTATTGTTGGTTAAACCTTCAAATAAATTGCTTGATCCACTTTTTGGGATTGAAAGTCTAATTCTATCGATACTACGCTTAGCTAAAAGAAATAAATTTAAAAAAAGCATAATTAATAATTTTATAATTATTTATTTGATTTAAACTATTCTGTTATTATTATTATTTAACACCGCTACTGTATCACTATCATACCATAAAAATAGGTATGAAATAAACTACCTGGTTCTATTTGATGAAAAACAAGAGTGTGGTGTGGTGGTGTGTTTTATTTTATATTTTATAAATTATAAAATATTTACTCTTTGATTTAACTTGGTTTTTGAGATCTAAAAGAGTAGCTTTATCACCAACGGTGAAAGTACCGATTGGTTTTTTTGATTTTTGGCTTACAACTTTAATTTCCATTGCTAAATTAAAATTATAGTTTAGGAAAAAGAAACTAATAAACTAATATTTTTTTTTTTTGAAAAAATTTTTAAAAAAAAAAAATTTTTAAAAAAAAAAATAAAAAAAATAAAAAAAAATTTAAAAAAAATTAAAAATTTAAAATCACAAACATTATTATTACCCAATTAAAGAAATATGATGATGTTTAAATTATAAAAAATAAAAAAATATTAAATCGATATTGGTTTATTTATTAAAAAGAAATATTTTGTTTATTTAAAAAATTTAGTTGGAGGGGATTTTTGGGATGTGTCTATCGAGGTGGTTAATTTTGTCGTGTTAGGTGAAGTTGTAAATAATTCATTTTATCAACATGGATTAACACTGGAAGAACATATACCAACTTTTTTCTTTTAAATTAAATTTTTGATTTTGTGTGTGCCGAATTATCAAATTGAATATATATTGGCTTTCAATTTATTCTAAATAAAATAATTGATACTTTGATTATAAATCTCCTTTTTTATTTTATTGGGCCATCTATATTTAATTTATATCTAAAATAAAAAAATTAAAAAATGGTGATCCACAATATTTTCTACACTTAATTATTGTAATATTTATTTCCGAATAGTTTATTCGCAAATTTTTAACAAATTCTGGTTATTGTGAAAAAAATTTTTTTTTGAAAATGATACATCTATTTTATTTATTGTAATCAAAAATTTTATTTTTTTATAAATGAGGCATTAATAGGAATAGATTGAAAAAGAACAAAAAAAGAATAAAGAATATCTATTAAACACACCACACTCTTATATAATTTATTTTTAAAATTTTTATCTATTTTTTTATTTTATTTTAATTTAATTTATTTTATTTTATTTTATTTTTATTTTATTTTATTTTATTTTATTTTAATTATATAATATCCATATATTTATATTTATATTAAATAGTCATTTAGGTAAGAACACCAGTCATATGACATACTTTTGAGTCAATGTCTAGTTATAAACAAATTAACTCTTTTTAAAAATAATTAATTAAAAAAAAATAAAAAAATAATAAAAAAAATAGAAAAAAAAAAAAAGAATTTTATTAAATTTTTTTTTTAAAATTTTTTTTTTTTTTAATTTTTTTTTTATAAATCAAAAACAATTTTTTTTTTTTATATTTTTATTAATTTCTTTTATTATTATTTATTAAATAAAAATAAAATAAAATAAATTTTAAAGTTAATTAATTTTTTTTTATCTCTGTAATTTATTTATCTTTTTTTTAACAGTGATTTTTATTCTTTTTCAAACATATAATAAAAAAACATATATATAAAATCATGTCGGTAAGTTCACTGTTTTAATAAACATTAGAAAGTTTTTTTTTTTTTTTTTTTTTTTTTTTTTTCTCTTTATTTATCATCAAATAAAATATTAAAACTAATTTAATTTTAATATTAACTTAGAAACCAATGGACGGAGTCGAACAAGAGGTTAAAATTGATGATGCCTTATATAGTAGACAACTTTATGTTTTATCACATGAAGCTATGAAAAAAATTTTATCAACTTCAATTTTAGTTGTTGGTCTTCAAGGTTTAGGTATTGAAATTGTTAAGGATTTAGTTTTAGCAGGTGTCAAATCAGTTACATTATATGATAACGAGCTTGTTCAAATTCAAGATTTATCATCACAAGTAAGTTTCAAATATAATATATCTTCATTCAATCATTTATTTAAAATTTTCATTATCATCAAATCTTTTTTTTTTAATATTTCAAAATTTGTTATTAAATTAATATTTTTTTTTTTTTAAAATAGTTTTATTTCTCACCAGATCAAGTTGGTAAAGTTTCAAGATCAAAAGCATGTGTACAAAAAGTTGTAGATTTAAATAATTATGTTAGAATCGAATCTTATGAAGGTGAGTTAACTGACGAATATTTAAAGAAGTTTAATGTTGTTGTTTTAGCCAACCAACCATTAGCCCTTCAAGTAAGAGTCAATGAGGTTTGTCGTAATAATAATATTTATTTCAGCAGTGCTGAAACCAGAGGTGTCTTTGGTTGCTTATTTAACGATTTCGGTGATCAATTCACTGTTTTAGATACAAATGGTGAAAATCCAGCTTCATACATGATTTCAAGCATTTCACAAGAAAAAGAAGGTGTTGTCACTGTTGTAGAAGAACAAAAACTCCAATTCTTTGATGGCGATTATGTCACTTTTAAAGAAATTAATGGTATGTCACCATTAAATGACCTTCCACCACAAAAAATTAAAACTATTTCACCATTCACTTTTTCAATTGGCGACACTACAAATTTCCCAGCCTATACTTCAGGAGGTTATGTAACTGAAGTTAAACAACCAAAACAATTATCATTTGTAAGTTATTATTTTTTATAATTATAATTTAAAGATTTAATTATTAACTCTTTTTTATTATTATTATTTTAGAAATCATTAAAAACAGTTTTAGAAACTGGTGACAATATTTTTATTACTGACGATTTTAAATTTACTCAACCATCTTCATTATTATGTGGTTTCCAAGCTATTCATAAATTTAATGAACAACACAAATATTTCCCAAGACCACACAATGCAGCTGATGCTAAAGAAGTTTTGGAAATCGCCAAAGAATTTGCCAAAGTATTAAAATATGACGAAATTGATGAAAAATATATTACCCAATTATCATATGTCGCACAAGGTGATATTGTCCCAATGCAAGCTATTATTGGTGGTATCACAGCTCAAGAAGTATTAAAGGCCTGTTCAGGTAAATTCCATCCAATCCATCAACTTGCCTTCTTTGATTCAGTCGAAGCTCTCCCAGAAGCCGAATTACCAGAAGAAGAGTTCCAACCAATTGGATCCCGTTATGATGGTCAAATCATTACTTTTGGTAAAACCCTTCAAAATCAAATTGAAAATCTTAACTACTTTTTAGTTGGTGCTGGTGCTATTGGTTGTGAAATGTTAAAGAACTTTGCAATGATGGGTCTTGGTACTGGCAAAAACGGTTCAATTCAAGTTACTGATATGGATACTATTGAAAAATCAAATCTCAATCGTCAATTCCTTTTCCGTTCATCAGATATTCAACAATTAAAATCAGCCACTGCTGCCAATGCCATTAAAGTCATGAACCCAGATATTAACATTAAAGCTTATTCACTTCGTGTTGGCCCAGATACTGAAACCGTTTACAATGAAGAGTTCTATAGTAAATTAGATGGTGTTTGTAATGCTCTCGATAATGTCGATGCTCGTTTATACATGGATTCTCAATGTGTTTATTATGGTAAACCACTTTTAGAATCTGGTACTCTTGGTACTAAAGGTAACACCCAAGTTGTTGTTCCATTCCTCACTGAATCATACAGCAGCAGTCGTGATGCCCCAGAAAAATCCATTCCAATGTGTACTCTTCACAATTTCCCAAATGCTATTGAACACACCATTCAATGGGCTCGTGATACATTTGAAGGTATCTTTAAGAATGCTGCAGATAACGTAAATTCATATCTCACCAACCCAGATTTTGTTAAATCATTAGGTTCACAAAACCCACATGTTCGTTTAGAAATCCTCAACCAAATCAAATCATATCTCTTAGATAGACCATTAGATTTCAATCAATGTATTGCTTGGGCTCGTTTCAAATTTGAAGAGTACTTTAACAATAGTATCGAGCAATTACTTTACAACTTCCCAAAGGATATGGTTACTTCAACTGGTGCCATGTTCTGGTCTGGTCCAAAACGTGCTCCAAATCCAATCAAATTTGACGCTAATAACCCATTACATTTAGAGTTCATTATTAGTGCTGCTAACTTACGTGCTTTCAATTATGGTATTAAACCAGATACCAATACCGAGGTTGTCAAGAAACAAGCTGCCAATGTTATTGTCCCAGATTTCACTCCAAAGAAAATTAAAATCCAAACTTCAGAAAATGAACCAGCTCCAAGCCAACCAACTAATGATAATGACGATGACCAATGTGACAAAATCCTTAGTGAACTCCCACAACCAAGTGAAATGGCCGGTTACAGAATTAATGCAATCCAATTTGAAAAAGATGATGACACCAACCACCACATCGATTTCATTACTGCTACATCAAATTTACGTGCCACCAATTACAGTATCACCAATGCTGATAAACACAAAACAAAAGGTATCGCTGGTAAAATTATTCCAGCTCTTGTAACCACCACCGCTGTTGTTGCTGGTTTAGTTTGTATCGAATTAATCAAGATTCACCAAAAGAAAGCCCTCGACAAATACAAGAGCACTTTTATGAACCTTGGTATTCCATTCTTTGGTTTTGTTGAACCAATTGCAGCTCCAAAGAATAAGATCCGTGATGACTGGAGCTGGACTCTTTGGGATCGTTTCGATGTTGAAGGTGATATCACCCTTCAAGAGTTCCTCACTCTCTTCGAAACCAAATACAAATTAGAAATCTCAATGCTTTCATGTAATGTAACTTTATTATATGCCCTTTTCACTGACAAGAAGACCAAAGAAGAAAGATTGAAGACTAAATTAAGCAAACTCTATGAAACTTTATCAAAAAAACCATTACCAGAAAAGAAATATTTAGTATTTGAAATTTGTTGCACTGATATGGATAATGATGAAGATGTCGATGTTCCATATGTTAGATATAAATTCAGAAATTAAATCATAAAAAACATTTAACTTTTATTTTTACAAAAAAAAAATAAAAAAAATATCAAATAATACTTAATATAACAATAAAAAATAAAATTTTTTTTCTTTTTAAATATATTTATTATCTTTTTGATAATATTATTTTATTTATTTAACTAAAAAATTAATTTTTGAACCTTTTTTAATTGAAATGTATGTTGAATCAGTTAATTTCTTTTTGATAAATGATCTCGCAGTTTTGTCATTTCTATGTACTAAAACACATAGTATAGTTTGACGTGAGAACGATGATTTTCCTTCATTATATTGATCTATTAAAATATCACTTGAAAGATCAAATAATAGATTAACTAGTTTTCTTAATGGAACCACATAACTCTCGAAAAGTTCATCTGAAACTGCTGTTGCATTGCCTTGTTCATCACGGTCTAAAAAGAAATCTTTGGTTAATTCTATATCATATTCTAGATATTCTGTATCTTTTGGTTGAAATACTCTTGTTGGTCCACCATATAAAATTGAAAATTCCATGGCTTGTAAAAATGCTTTGCACACTGAAGCTAAAATATCATTTCCTCTTTGAATTGAATGTGAGTTGTTATAAATAATCTTCAAATGTGGACTTAAAGATTCCAAAATTTCTGAAATTGTATCTTTGGATGTAATTGGAGTACTATAAAGACTTTCGATAATTTGTTGTTTACATTCATAAAATACAACTCTAGTACCTATAAAATCTACCAATTTATTGACAGTCTCTGCTAAAGTTATTTGGGTCGATGAAAATAATTCTTTTAATTTATTTCTTAATGAATCATCATCAAATGAATTTTCATTAATATAATTGTTAATATTTAATAATATGTGATCTAGATTGTTTACACAAACACAAAGCTATTAAAAAAAAAGAGTAAACTTGTGTTAATAAAAGTATTATTATTTTTTTTTAAAAAAAATAAAATATTTGCTTACTTTTAAAATTGTCATTTGTGAAAGTTTGGTTTGAATTACAATTTGAGTTGGATCGGGTACATTTTTTGATGAGGATGAAATTTGTAATGATGTTGTAATTTGATTTGATGATGTCGAAATACTTTTTCTAATTTTACTTTTATTCTGAATTCTTTCATTTAATGAGGTTGGATAGAGTATTTGTTTTTGGTTACATAATGTCAAAGTTTCTACACTTGAGTTATATGCTAAAATACAATTGCTATTGAACAGGGCAGATAGAGTTAAGATAAAAGCTGGGAAATTGTCAGATAACGATCCTCTCATTTTAGCTAAAGTTGAAATGGTTTGATAAAACATTGTAAACATATCGACTACCGATGAAGAATGCTTAACCTCTTTGTCAAGTGGTGTAAATTTGTCTAATTTGAAAATATTTTCAAACCATTTTGTAAAATCTTTTTCTTGATTTTGGCACCATGCACCAATAACTGAGCTTACATATGTTTTGACTGGTGGTAGTTTTTCCTCTGGAATTAAATTTACTTTTTTTAAGAGCACTTGGAATTTTGAAGCTGCTTGGACCGATTGTAATAACATTGGTGAAAGGAAATAAACATCCTCGAAAACTGCCTTTATATCATTCGAGTATAGGTTGACCCATTCTGTTAGAGCTACAGTTTTGCATTTGCTATGAACATTGCTAAATCCCGCTATAAAAACATCAAGATTTAATTGAATTTCTGGTATGAGTAAATTTACAAATTCTGCAAAATTTTCAAGCGATAATGGTCTGAAGGATTGAGAAAGACGTTGGTAATGGCATGAAACAGTGGAGATGATGAATGGTTGGAATGTTGATTCTGAATTTTTAATAGTTTTAGTTGTCGATAAAAGACTCCACATCTCTCTTGATTGAATATAAATTGAGCATGCTGAGGCAATTTCCTTGGTTGGTGATGAGCCTTTATATGAATGGAGATCACTGAGGATTTTAGTTAACCATGATGCTATTTTTTTCAATGTCATTTTTAATAGGGGCGCATTGGATGTAATTGGATCTTTAATCAATGGACTGTTTGTTTGAATAAGCTTATGAATTGAGTCCAATGTGTCGTGTAAACGTTTGAAATGTTCTTCGCGTTGTTCTGCTTGATAGGCCATCAAAAAACAATTTAAGTGACAAATAGTCTCCATAGTTGGTGTAATTTTGAGTGCAATTGCAAAATGTTTTAATCCTGGAGGGACTCTTAGATGTTCATCGCCAATAAATCTAATACCATCGTCGTCATCAAACTCAAAGAGACTGTAGAACAAAAGATCTTCAAACATATTTGTATTTAGTGGAAATTGGTAGGGTACAGGTTTAGTTAAGTATTCTGTGGCTAGTTGGTTACTATTAACACTATTGATTGATGTATTTGTTGTTGGCGAGTTTAAAATTGTTGACTTTAAAAATAAGCTACCAATAAATTTATCTAAATTATTAAATGGAGTGGCATAGATTGGGTCGGTACAAGATGACGGGGTTTGTTCTTGCAAAGCAACTTCTAAATTGTAACAATACAACTTTAATTGATTTACACTTTGGTTATCTTTTTCATCAAATGGATCTTTGATTAAATTTATAAGGCCATTTAATATTGTATATAATTGTCTCTTGAACCATATCATTAAAGATTCTTGGCTATCAAACATATTAAAATTGAAATGCTTTAATAACCATAGTCTATATGTAAGTGATGTAAATAGTGGTCTGTTTGAGTTTGTGGGTGATGCTTTTGGTGATGTTCCAGGTGGTGTTAATGCTTTAATAAATCCATCATGTTTTACTTTTGAAATTTCACATTGAATTCTAAATCCTTCTTCTTCTTTTAAATCCTTTAAAATAAATTGTTTTAATATTAAACTCTTTATGGTTGACTATTTTAAAATAATACTTACAACTAAATCACCTGGCTTACTAAAATGAGAAACTAATAAATAGGCCTCGTAACTTGAGAAATGGAACTGTTCTTTTGATAAGAAACCATAGTTTTCGGGTAGTAGTGATTTAATTTGATCACTTGTTGAGGTACCACTGCTCGTATTGCTTGGTGTTGGACTTTTAATTAGGTAAACGTTGTTTTGACTATTAATTAAACTATTATTTAAACTATTATTTAAACTATTTTGTGGTGATGATAGAGGTGCGGTATGTTGTTGCGCTTGCTGTAGTGGTGTTGTTGGTGATGGTATTTTCCCATTATTACTATCTATATGGTTTTGTTGTGGTAAATGTATTGGTGAGTTAATGGTACTATTACTATTGGTTGGTGATACTTCTATAATTATAAAAAAGAAAAAATAATACTTAGTATATATAACCACATATAATTTAAATTTATATAATTTAATTAAATACTTTTTAAAAATTGAATTAGCTCCTCAACATTCAATGTAGCAAACCCTTTATCATTTATAGTTGAATATCTTGAATATCTTAGTGTATTTGCATTTGTTTCGAATAAATATTCTAAAAGTTGTTTTTTTTCATTTTCTAATTGTAATATTCTACTATTTGGGCTAATGTTATTTCCACTATAATTTCCATTCATATTCATATTTTTTTTGTTGTTAAGTTGGTATGTTGCTATATTATTATACTTTTATATTATTGTGCTGTTCTATGATATTATAAACCATTTATTAAAAACACATAAAATTATAGAGAAACAAAAAAAAATATTTATGCCAAAATTAAAATCTTTAAAAATTTTATATTTTTTTAAATATATAAATAATTATTTTATTTTACATAAAGAATAATTAATAACCACACACACACAATTAAAAATAATTAGATAATTGTAAAATAAATTAATAAAACAAAAAAAAATAAAAATTATAAAAAAAAAATTAATAAAAATTTAATTTTCATTTTTTTTTTATTTTTTTTTTATTTTAAAAATATTTTATTTGGAAATAAATTTCTTTTTTCGTCAAATGCCATCATTTAAACGAACAATTAAAAGAAAAATAAAAGGTTTAGCTTTATGATAAAATTGAACAGGGATTATTAAATTAAAATCTACTATTTGTGTGAACAAAGTTAATATTGAAGATGGGAGGATACCAATCTCCAAATATTGCCATCACAAATAATAATAAAAAAACAAAACAAAAATGAAAAATAAGGGTTTTTTTTTAAAACCATATTAAATTTATTATTGTCATATCTATATTTTGTTTTTTTTAGTTGATTTAATTTTCTAATTCAAAAGTGTGGGAGATATTAAAATTTTTTTTATTTATTTATTTGTTTTTTTTTGGTTTGGTTTGGTTTGATCTAAATTAAATAAAAATTTAATTATAATAATAACGATGATTTGATGAACTGATGGCAAGAGGAACAATAACAACCAAAATGAGAATAAGATAAAGTACACCGAAAATAACGGAAAGAGTGGCAAGTAATTTGGCATTCTTATTTCTACTCTTTAAATATTTAATATTGACGAACCTTTTTTAAAAAAACAAAAAAATTAATTTTTTTAAATAAAATCGAGATTAAAGATAATGGATAACACTTACCATACACACCAGAAACAAAAACCAGCAACGAAAAAAATTAATGCTGGATTAAAATCTTCCTCATCTTGGTTCTGTGAAGTTTTAACAATAACATTTGGGATTGATGGGTATTCTTGAACATAAACTGAATGTTGTACTTGTGGTTGTGGATAATAATATTGTGGTTGCATTTGTGGTTGGTGTGGTTGTTGTGATTGCATTTGTTGTTGTGGTTGTGGTTGTTGTGGTTGTTGTGATTGTTGTTGTGGTTGTACTGGATATGGGTTGTATTGGACGTAATATGGGTTTGGTGGATATTGTTGTGGTAGTTGTGGTGGTTGTGGTGGTTGTGGTTGTTGAATTGATTGTGGTTCGCTTGATAAGGAAACTGGTGAGTAACCATTTGCTCCTGGATTTCTAATGTTTAAATCCTCATCATCCAATGATTCATAATTTCTAGATTCAATACCCATTGTTGCTTATAAAATGTATATTTGAAATTGTTGTGTGAGTAAAAAAAATTATTGAAGAAAAAAAAAAAAAGATGGTTATTAAAAAAAAAAATTTAAAAAAAATAAAATTTTTTTCCCAAAAAAACAAAAATAAAAAAAAAAAAATCAAATAAATTTAAAATACGATTTGATGTTTTGTTTTATTTTATTTTATTTATTTTTTTATTATTTATTTGATTGATTTAGTTTTTCTAAATCAAAAGTGTCGATTGGTTTACCCCAAGAAACTTTTTGAGAATATGAGAATGTTGAGGCAGGGAGAACAATTGACAAATATTTACCTTTGCCATACTCCATATCAGTTACATAGTGAGCTTCTTGAACATAAAGATCACCTTTATTTTTACCAAATGCAAATTTATTATAAACATTCCAATCTCTAGCTGCGCCATTGTAAGGAACCCACCCATATTCGTTTGTGTAAAATTCGGTTTGTGCATGTTTCCCAAATGTGTGATTTTTATCTTTATCAACACTTTTACCAGATAAATATCTTACTGGAATTTTATGATAACGGAGGATTGAGGCAAACAGGTTGCTAAAGCTTTCACAATTTGCTGTTTTCTTTGAGAATGTAACCAATGGGGGTTGACCGCCAGAGTTTATATCGTAGGTAATATGTTTATAAATAAATAGTGATACACGATATGCAAAGCATATGGTAGTTTCGATTGTGCCATCTCTAGTTTGCATTGGATAGAGTTTATGTTGATCTATAAATTGTTTAAATTCTGGTGAATCAAATGTAATTTCTTCTTCGCATCTTGTGAATATCTTTATTTCTTTTTCGGTGATGGATTCAATTTGTACCTCTCTTGGATCGTTTACCTCTTCTAATTCATTTGAATATAAATTACATTCTGTAACATGATATAGTGTAAATCTAGATTTTGGGGGTGGACTATTGTACTCTATCTTATAACAATTATGTAAACATGTTGGTATTTCAACAGCACTAATAACTTTACCATTGATTTCATCGACCAGTTGGCATTTTGATGATGTAATCTCTTGAAATTGGAAGCTAGTTGGTTTATGCCAATAATATATAACTTTATTTAATTGGCCCTCTTCGACTCTAATTTCTTTTTTATGGGTGAATCTAATTGTATACTGATATACCCTATTAACTTTAAAATATCTATTCCACATTCTCTTATGCGTTTCATGATCAAACATATGTTGGTCTATACTTGGGTGTAGTTTAGGATCTTTTGGTATAATAAATGGATTTAATTTTAAAATTTTATTATTGGAGATATTATCATTAGGTTCTTGTTGTTGGCTAATAATTGGTGCTGGTCTTGGAGGTCTTGGTGGATTTTGATTATTATTTTGTTGTTGTTGTAATGGATTGGCTTTATATTGCGAATTTTGTGGAAGGGGTTTGGGTTTAATTATTGGTATCCCAACTTGTGACTGTGGTAGATGTTGTATTGGTGATGGTTCATCACTATTCTTTGGTATTGGTGCTGGTCTTAATGGTCTAGGAGGTGGGGTGAAATCTTGTTGAGTTGTTTTAATTGGTATTTGAGGTGGTAAATTTAAATTTTGTACATCTTTTGGTATGGGTGCTGGTCTTAATGGTCTATTTTGTGGTATTTCACCTTGTTGTTGAAGTTGTGGAGCTGGTCTTGGTTTTATGATTGGTATTGGAGGCTGTTGGGGTGTTTGTGCTTGTCTAGTAACTGGAGGTGGTTGTAAAGAATTATTAAAAACTGTTTGAGATCTTGGTTTGGTGATGTTTGGTGTACCTTCATTTTGTTGGAATTGTATAGGATTAATGTTATTATTACTATTATGAATTGACACTGGTCTTTTCTTTAAACCAAATGGTGAAGGCTTTAGTATATTATTATTGCTATCAAAATTATTTATTGGTGTTAAATTCGAAATTGGATTAAAAGAGGGAGGTGGATTATTTTGATATGGTAATAAAAAGTTACTTGAAGATGATGAATGAATATTGTTTAAACATTGAAATAAACTGTGAATGGAAAATTGAAAATTAATTATGGGTATGTCTAATGCTGATATTTTACTTTCAAAATAATATTTAACATCTTGAAATAATAACTCTTTTTCTGAAATATATTGTTGTTGCGAGTTTATTAGGTCCGATTCTAGTATATCCAACTGTTGAATTTTTAAACTAACTTGCTCCAATTGCAAACAATATCCAGATATTGACTCTAAATTGGGCTGCTGATTAAATAACCAATCATCGAATGACTGGTTGACACTTGCTAATAATGAGTCACAGTACCCATTTAATGGATGATCTTGATTATAGTTATTTTTAATATTATTTAATAACCCGTTTGAATTTAAATAAATATCTAATATAAAATAAAAAAAATAAAAAAAATAAAAAAAAAAGTGTTAATACTACTAATATTTAAAAAATATTTAAATATTAGTAATTTACCTTTAATGTTAAAACAATAGTTTTTAATTGATTCATTTAATAATGTTGCATTGTTGAATAGATTATAAAATTCTTTTTTTAATATTTGATAATTGGGATCTACTGAAACACTGTTACTTTTACTATTATTGTTTGCTATCATATTTCATTTTAAAAGAAATGGAAAAAAAAAAAATTATAAAACAAAAAAATAGAAAAATTTAATTTTGAAAAATTAATAAAAATAATTTTTTTTTTAATTTTTTTTTAATTTTTTTTTAATTTTACTAACTTTTTCAAATAAACCAAAGATATATACAAATATATAAGATATAAACAAATAATTGGTTATTCATATAAACTTATATATTTTTTAAAAATTCAGATGAAATCTTTATGGCCTGGTTCATTGATAAGTTGATATAAATCTTGTTCTGCATTTTGATTTATTTGCTACTAAAATAACTCAATATCTATTGTGTCTAAATGTTTAATTGCTTCTTTTTGCAGTTTTTATTCCTTATTTGAAGAAATCATACTCTAATTGGGGTGTAAAGATTTGTATGCTCTGATGATACCACCATTAGAATCTGGCTGGTGTGTGTTATAAATTTAAATATATTTTTTATTGAAATCTTTTCTAAAATAGATATTTGATAAAAGTTTAAAAATTTAAGATTTTTTTTTTTAAATTTTTTTTTTAAATTTTGGTAAAAATATTTGTTTTATATATTTATATTTTTTTATACTAACAATGGATGAGCTACTATCAACTCTAATTAACTTTCCCGTAAATGAAGAGTTAAAAAACAGTAGTAATATTAGTGATAGGTGTGCAATACAATACAATACAATAAATATAAATAAAATAAATAAATTAATTAAAAGCATATTAATTGGTGTTTTCTCTTTTTAACTATTTATTATAGATTATTATATATAGTTTGGAATAATATATTTTTAAGAAATGAAATTCATAATCATATTTTAAAGTTTATTGAAAATAGTTTTGTACATCTTGATATATCACGCTATAACCAGTTTAAAGATAAATCATATATAACAACACTTAACTGGTATGGTGAACTACTACCAGATAAAAATGAATTTCCACCATTTTTGACAGATTTATATTTAAGCAGTTTTAATAAAATGTTAACTCCAACAACTTTACCAAATACAATTACTACACTCACATTCGGTGATGAATTTAATCAAGTAATTTCACCACATACATTACCAAATAGTCTCACAACACTCAAATTGGGTTATAGTTTTGACCAAGTAGTTCCACCTGGATCATTACCAAATAGTCTCACAACACTCAAATTGGGTTATAGTTTTGAACAAGTAATTCCACCTGGAACATTACCAAATAGTATTACAACACTCATATTCGGAAATAAATTTAACCAAGTAGTTATACCCGACACATTACCAAATAGTCTCACAACACTCACATTCGGTCATGATTTTGACGAAATAATTCCACCCGGCTCATTACCGAATAGTCTTACAACACTCACATTCGGTAATGATTTTAACCGAGTAGTTTTTCCCGGCTCATTACCAAATAATATTACAACACTCACATTCGGAACTCATTTTAACCAAGTATCTCTACCTGGCTCATTTCCAGATAGTCTCACAACACTCACATTCGGTTATTTTTTTAACCAAGTAGTTCTACCCGGCCTATTACCAAATAATCTCACAACACTCACATTCGGTTATTGTTTTAATCAAGAAATTCTACCCGGCCTATTATCAAATAATCTCACAACACTCACATTCGGTGATGAATTTAACCAAGTAATTTCACCACATACATTACCAAATAGTCTCACAACACTCACATTCGGTCGTGATTTTAACCAAATAGTTCTACCTGGCTCATTACCAAATAGTCTCACATCACTCACATTTGGTGATAATTTTAATCAAGTAGTTCTATCGGGCTCATTACCAAATAGTATTACAACACTCACATTCGGCTTTAGTTTTAACCAAATAATTTCACCCGGATCATTACCAAATAGTCTTACAACACTCACATTCAGTTATGGTTTCAAACAAGTAATTCCACCCGGCACATTACCAAATAGTCTCACAACACTCACATTGGGTCCTACATTTGAAAAAGTATTTCCACCCTGCTCATTACCAAATAGTGATACCAACAAAGTTTTAACATATAAAATTTTACCTCCTGAAATAAATTATTATTATTATGATTTTCATATGAATTAGTATTAAACAACAAAAAATCTCGATTATTATTATTATTTTACAAAACACCCTCGCAACAATACAATCATTTAAATGAAGATGAGCAAGTAACAGTCTTCTGTCACAGCTGACACCTTTTCAAAAGTAATCAACAGTATCAAACTCCTCTACCAATCAGAATGTGCAAACAGGTATAACAAGTAGTAGAGATGATTCCTCTATGGAATTGGCGAGTTAAACAATTGTATTCAATTAAATTTAAATGAAATCACAAAATTTAATAACAAAACAGTATCAGGCTCCACTGCCACCATTCAGAATGTGCAAACAGGTAAAACAAGCAGTAGAGATGATTCCTCCAAAAAAAATTTATTTTAAGCTGTTTTATTTATATTTAAACAAAAAAAATTTATTTATATTAAATGGATATGAGTTTTATATAAAATTAAATTTAGATTTTTTTTTGGGTTTGGTTATATTTTTTTTTTTAAAAATTTTCAATTTTTTTTTTATTATTATTTAAAAAAAATTTTGAAAATTAAGTTTTTAAAAAATTTTTCCAATATATTTTTTATTATTTTTTTTATATTAAAAATGGATAAGCTATTATCATCTCTAATTAACCTTCGCGTAAATGAAAAGTTAAAAAACAGTAGTAATATTAGTGATAGGTAAGTACAATACAATACAATAAATATAATAAATCAATTAAAAGCATATTAACTGGTGTTTTCTCTTTTTAACTATTTATTATAGATTATTATATATAGTTTGGAATAATATATTTTTAAGAAATGAAATTCATAAACATATTTTAAAGTTTATTGAACATAGTTTTGTAGATCTTGATATATCATGCTATAACCAGTTTAAAGATAAATCATATATAACAACACTTAGCTGGTATGGTGACCTACTACCAGATAAAAATGAATTTCCACCATTTTTGACAAACTTATATTTGTGCAGTATTTATAAAAATTTAACCCCAACAACATTACCAAATACAATTACTACACTCACATTCGGTTATAATTTTAACCAAGTAATTCCACCGGGTGCATTACCAAATAGTCTCACAACACTCACATTCGGTTGTAGTTTTAACCAAGTAATTCCACCCGGTACATTACCAAATAGTCTTACAACACTCACTTTCGGTTCTTGTTTTAACCAAGTAATTCCACCCGGTACATTACCAAATAGTCTTACAACAATCGTTTTCGGTTATTGTTTTGACCAAGTAGTTCCACCCGGCACATTACCAAATAGTCTTACAACACTCACATTTGGAACTAATTTTAAGCAAGTAATTCCACCCGGCACATTACCAAATAGTCTCACAACACTCACATTTGGAACTAAATTTAACCAAGTACCTCTACCCGGCACATTACCAAATAGTCTTACAACACTCACATTCGGTCCTACACTTAAAAAATTCTTTCCACCCTGTTCATTACCAAATAGTGATACCAACAAAGTTTTAACATAAATTTTTACCGCCTTAAAAAGATTGATGATATCTATTAAATCAATTAAAATCAATTATGATGATATCTATTAAATCAATGAGTATTAACTCTTATAACATCTCTAATTAAAATAAATGGATTTTTCAAACACTTTATTTAGAAAAAGAAAAGATTGCAATAACAATTTAAATATTAATAGTAGTAATAGTAATAGCCCGGAAGTGTAAAATGATAAAACTTTTTATGTTTTAACAAATATTCCCGAACCAATTTTACCAGAAAAAGAATTAGAGCTTCAAAGGGAATCTAAATTTAAAGATGGAAAGGGTGGTTTTGTTTAAATTTTTTTGAAAACTCCAATAGTAATATGGCTATACAATTTTTGCCATAATTATGTAGATTCAACAAAAATGGTTATCAATCCACAACGAATGATCAATGACCAAGAACGTTCTCAAGGGTTATATATAATGATATATTTTTAGTGATTAAAAATTATAGTTTTCATTAATAGTATTTTGGATTATCTGGAAGATTTTATAAAAAAAGATAAAAATGGATAATTAAAAATAAAAAAAAGATAAAAAAAGGATAATAAAATTAAAAAATATTTTTTTTAAAAAAAAAAAATTTGTGTGTTTATTATGTTTTTTTAAAATAAAATTGAAAATATACAAAGGTTTTTATTATTAAGAAAAAAAGGTTATTATTAAAATTATTCAGAATGAAAAAAAAAAAAAAAAAAAGTAGAAAAAATTTATTTTAAGCTGTTTTATTTATTTTTAAAAAAAATTTTTTTTTTTTTATATTAAATGGATGTGAGTTTTATTTAAAACTAAATTTAGATTAATTTTTGTGTTTGATTAAATTTTTTTTTTTAAAATTTTCAATTTTTTTTTTATTAATTATTATTTAAAAAAAATTAAGTTTTTAAAAAATTTTGCAAATTAAATTTTTAAAAATTTTTTCTTACATATATTGTTTAATTATTTTTTATATTAACAATGGATAAGCTACTATCATCTCTAATTAACATTCGTGTAAATGAAGAGTTAAAAAACAGCAGTAATATTAGTGATAGGTAAGTACAATACAATATAATAAATATAATAAATATAATAAATATAATGAATCAATTGAAAGCATATTAATTGGTGTTTTCTTTTTAACTATTTATTATAGATTATTATATATAGTTTGGAATAATATATTTTTAAGAAATGAAATTTATAAACATCTTTTAAAGTTTATTAAACATGGTGTTGTAAATTTTAATATATCCCGTTATGACCAGTTTAAATATAGATCATATATAACAACACTTAAGTGGGATGGTGATCTACTACCAGATAAAAATGAATTTCCACCATTCTTGACAGATTTATATTTGTGTAGTTTTCATAAAAAGCTAACTCCAGGATCTTTACCAAATACAATTACTACACTCACATTTAGTGATAATTTTAACGAAGTAGTTCCACCCGACACATTTCCAAATAGTCTCACAACACTCGTATTCGGTAAAATTTATAACCAAGTAATTCCACCCGGATCATTACCAAATAGTCTCACAATACTCAAATTCAGTTATCATTTTAACCAAGCACTTCCACTCGGCACATTACCAAAAAATCTTACAACACTCACATTCGGTGATTGTTTTAACCAAGAAATTCCACCCGGCACATTACCAAATACTCTCACAACACTCACATTCGGAAATAAATTTAACCAACTATTTCTTCCCGGCACATTACCAAATACTCTTACAACAATCGTTTTCGGTTATTGTTTTGACCAAGTAGTTCCACCCGGTACATTACCAAATAGTCTTACAACACTCACATTTGGAACTAAATTTAACCAAGTACTTCTACCCGGCTCATTAGCAAGTAGTCTTAAAACACTCACATTTGGCCATCGCTTTAACAAAGTATTTCCACCCGGTTCATTACCATATAGTCTTACAACACTCACATTCGGTGATAGTTTTAACCAAGTAATTCCACCCGGTACATTTTCAAATTGTCTCACAACACTCACACTGGGAGCTAATTTTAACCGAGTAATTCTACCCGGTACATTACCAAATAGTCTTACAACAATCACATTTGGTGATAGTTTTAACCAAGTAGTTCTACCCGGCACATTACCAAATAGTATTACATCACTCACATTCGGTGATTTTTTTAACGAAGTAGTTCCACCCGGTATATTACCAAATAATCTTACAACACTCACATTCGGTTATTGTTTTAACCAAATGGTTCCACCGGGCACATTACCAAATAGTCTCACAACACTCAAATTCGGTTATAGTTTTAAGCAAGTAATTCCATCCGGATCATTACCAAATAATCTTACAACACTCACATTGGGCCCTACATTTAAAAAAATATTTCCACTCTATTCATTTCCAAATAGTGATACCAACAAAGTTTTAACATATAAATTTTTACCCTGAAATAGATTATGATAATATGTAAATCAATTTGTATTGAACAACAAAGAATCTTAATTTTTATTCAAATGCAGTAAAAAAACTAACAATTACAACTATAATAACTATATTCCAAGAAGACAAATAATAATAAAACAAAATAATAAAAAAATAAAAAAAGTATTATAAAAACTATATTTATTTATTTAAATAAATAAAAAATAATAAAATGCAATTGGGATTATAATAATTATCTTAACTGAAAAAAAAGAGTATACCCCGCCCACCCCCAAAACACTCCTACACCAACACCAATATTGCCTATAGTTAATCAAGAATGAATATAGACCAGAAATAAATCAAAATATGAAGATCAAGTAAATAAAAATGATCAAGAAGAACAAGACATCAACATATCAATGAATCGGATATCAAAATGAAACAAATTGTCGAACAAAATCATAATACTGAAAAGCCATGACAATTATAATTATGCAATTAATGTACCATCTTCACGATATAATACACAACGGATGAAATCTTTATGGCCTGCATTGATACGTAAATCTTGTTCTATATTTTGATTTTCTTGATTAGTTTCTTGGTTGAGATAATTTGTTCATCAGCGGTAGAGATAAAAAGATTACTATGTGGAATAAATAAGGTAAAACTGAAAAATAACCCATATCTATGCTATCTGTGGTGTTACTACCAGTGGTGATCATCGTCGTTGTGTTACTTCCTCATGAGATCACTCTTGCATCGTTTGAGATATAGAAAACAAAACTAAACTGCTTAAAATAATATTAAATAAATTTTTTTTTTCTTAAGATTATTTTTAAAAAAAAAAAGTTGATATTTTTTTTTTTTTTTTTTGATATTTTTTGGGAAAATTTTAAAATTATTTTATTTTTATTTATTTTTTTTATATTAACAATGAATGAGCTACTATCATCTCTAATTAACCTTCGGGTAAATGAAGAGTTAAAAAACAGTAGTAATATTAGTGATAGGTAATACAATACAATATAAATATAATAAATTAATTGAAAGCATATTAATTGGTGTTTTCTCTTTTTAACTATTTATTATAGATTATTATATATAGTTTGGAATAATATATTTTTAAGAAATGAAATTCATAAACATATTTTAAAGTTTATTAAACATAGTTTTGTAGAATTTGATAAATCCCGTTATGACCAGTTTAAAGATAAATCATATATAACAACACTTAAGTGGGATGGTGATCTGCCAGATAAAAATGAATTTCCACCATTTTTGACAGATTTATATTTGTGCCGTTTTCATAAAATGTTAACTCCAACAACTTTACCAAATACAATTACTACACTCACATTCGGTGATAAATTTAACCAAGTAGTTCCACCCGGCACATTACCAAATAGTATCTTCATAATAAGAACTCAATTATTAATTTTTCAAACTCAATTCTTAGACTCTGATTTTGCCCATTACTCAAATTTCAAAGCTGACACTAATGCTATCCCGTTACCACATCATAGATATGCTACAGCGTGCTTCTATGCAGAGAAATTAGGTATTGAAATCGAGTTTCAGCGTAATGGTATTTGGAACATCATACCAGATCCTAACCCAGAATCTGATAAAGACAAAGATAAAGATGTATACTCAAACTATGACCGAATTAAGAAAACATTTGACAATCAATCTAGCAAAATGGCTTCAATAATCAGAAAACACACAAATTCATTATTATACAACAAGGTGCTAAGTGAAGATGTAGGTATTGGTAAGAAAAGACTATGGAGAGATTACCACAAATCATGGCTACATTGGATGAACGGTTGGGTTCACATTCCCCCTAATGTGGAAGCTACCTTTTGGGATGCAATCTTATCATTACTACCAAATAGAATATCAATGGTACACCGTGACTCAAGTTACTCAGCTGATACAAGATGTATATTATGTTCTAGTGCTGATGAGTCAATTGAACACTTAGTTGGTGGTTGTACTGGTATGAATAAACACGGTAGAATAAGACGTCATGATGCAGTAGTAACCGAGATTAGTAAATCACTGATCAAACACTATGAAATACCAAACGTTAAAAACTACTCAGATCCACACATTACTTACTCACAATCAAAAGATAACGAAATGACCATCAATATTGAAATTATTCGGGATATATGCTTCAAAAACTCTCAATCGAAGATATCTTTTATACACCCTAAATTTTATATTATGTTTCACTTTTTGTAACATGTTAACTAATTAACTATTAACATTTCCATACCAAATAGTTTACAGTAATCAATAATCTAATGGCCACTGATAGAACCAAAGCCTTTGGTATGTTATCTAAATCAAAACCCAATATATTGCCCGACGAATCTAATCAATCTGCTGTCAAGAAGCAAGCACACGACTTCATGAAAAGCTATTAAAATACGAATACTTCAAGAAACACTTTAAGAACCAATACAAAGACCCAGATGGCAGATCATTTGATGCACAAATAATCCCAATAGTCATAGGTGCATTTGGCAGAATTATAACTAAAGAAGTTCTTCACACTGAAAAAGACATAAAGTAATACTATTTGGTAGAAGAATATTAATCATGACTGATTACTTTATTTAGTTTTAGATTTAAGGAAAAAAAGATATTTTTTTTTAAAATTATATGGTAAACAAAGTAATTAGCAGAGGAGGAATTAAATATATAAGAGTTTGAAAAATTAATAATTGAGTTCTTATTATGAAGATACTCCGTATAAATATATGGGTGTCTACTTCAATCCAATTATTGATATTGACAAAAATCGTGAAGTAATTAACAGAGAAGCTATATCTGTTGGGCCAACAGATTATTCAAATCCAAATTATCTGGTTTCAATCTAGTCAGTGCATTCGACTCACTTATTGTAGGATACCTCAGATATTACTGGTTTTTAGACTTTTCCCTAAAAAACATTAAAGCACTTTCTACTACTATAAAAGAAATAATGCGTTCTAATGGAATAAAACATCCATTCATGTCAAATGACTTCCTCCATTTACCTCGTAAATATGGTGGAAGGGGGTTTACAAACATAAAACAGGAATTTATGGTTTACAAAATCACTACAAATTTCATGAAAATATTAAATTTTCTGTATTTATAGGTGATCTTTACAAAAATTCAAGTATCATGGTACCTCCTCCAACCAGAAGATATGACACAGCCTGTCATTACGCCTCAGAACTTGGTTTTGAACTATCATTTGCCGCAAATGGAATGTGGACCGTAACTATTCCAAAAGTCGATGACGACAATGTTACCACTTACACTGTTTACTCAAACAATGGAAATGCAGAACAATCTGATAAAATGTCATCCATCATCAAACACTTTACCAATCTTCAATTATATAAACGAGTAAAAGAAGAGGAAGTAGGTGTTGCAAAGAAACGTTTGTGGAGAATATTTCATGAACATTGGATACACTGGATCAAGGGTTGGACTCATATCCCGGCTCATATCGAAGCAACATTTTGGGAAGCAGTTTTGTCTTTATTACCAAATAGAATGTCATTAGTACACCGTGATGCAAGTTCAAATGCTGATAGGAGATGTAGGTTGTGCGCAAGTGCTGATGAATCAATTGAACATTTAGTAGTTGGATGTACAGGTATGAATAAATTCGGTAGAATCACCCGTCATGACATGGTTGTTACTGAAATCATAAAATCACTTATTAAACGTTATGAAATCCCCAACATCACAAACTTCAAGGCACCCATCTTCTCAAACTCTTTAAAGGAAAACAATCAAACCATCATCAATGTTGAAATCTTACGTGATGTTTGTTTTAAAAACTCTGACTCAATACAAAATAAACCTGATATTGTAGTCATTGATAAAGTAAAACACATCATCCGTGTTATTGATGTTTGTATCCCTTTCGATGGTAATATGCTGTTCAACATGAAAAGCTATTAAAATACGAATACTTCAAGAAACACTTTAAGAACCAATACAAAGACCCAGATGGCAGATCATTTGATGTACAAATAATCCCAATAGTCATAGGTGCATTTGGCAGAATTATAACTAAAGAAGTTCTCCACACTGAAAAAGACATAACTTTCACCATCAAATCTCTCAAAGATTGTTTAAATCTACTACCACTTCCTGAAAACGAAAAGGTACACTTGTTCAAAAAATTACCAAGAGAAGCAATAATTGGTACTATCCTCTCTCTTCAAAGTTGGACCCAAAACTTTAAATCTTCATAATAAGAACTCAATTATTAATTTTTCAAACTCTTATATATTTAATTCCCCCTCTGCTAATTACTTTGTTTACCATATAATTTTAAAAAAAAATATCTTTTTTCCTTAAATCTAAAACTAAATAAGTAATCAGTCATGATTAAAATTCTTCTACCAAATAGTCTTACAACACTCAAATTCAAAACTAGTTTTAACCAAGTAATTCTACCCTGCATCAAAGAAAAAAATTTAAAATAAATTATCATCACAAAAATTTGTCATGTTTTTTTTTCAGTGATATTATTATATATATACAGAAATGTAGTATTAATTAATATAATTGTTTATTATTTTATAATTTTTTTTTTTGGTATTATATCACACATCAAATTAAACAAATAGGATGATTTAAAGTGATGGTTATTATACATCAAATGTTTGTTTAAATATTCAATTTTATTTATTCAAAAAAATAAAAATTAAAATTAAAATAAATAAAAATTAAATTATAAAAAAAAATAAAAAGAAATTTCTCAACTCAATGACTTTAAAGTTATTTATTTATTTTAAATAAATAAATAATCAAATAAATAATATTTAATTTTTTTAATCAAATTTTTTTCGCATTATTATTAATTTTTTTTTTTATTAAAAAAAAATAAAAAATACTATTAAAATTTTTTTGTTTAAATTGAACAGTTGGCATCATCATTTTTTTTTTGAATAATTCAGATTGCAATGGGTTCTAAAATTGGTAATTTTCATTTTTATTATAATAATAAAAAAAAGTGTGTGGTGGGGTTATAATTTAATTTTTTTAAAATTTTTTTTATTAAATTAGTTTTTTATTTGGGTGATGTGTTTAAAAATTAAACGGATGATCACTACTTTTATGATAGCTACAGATTAAAAATTTAATAGAATGTACAAAATAGGGAATAACGAGTTTGGATCTAATTTATTATATTTACAAAAGGAAATTATAAATAAAATGAATTAAATTTTTTTTTTTATTTCTAAAAAAATTTTAAAACTCTATAAAAACTTTTTTCGAATTTATTTTTCATTAAATTCATTTATTTATTTCTCCTTTCAGTGTTTTTAATAATTATATTATATTTTTTTTTTGTTAATAATTATAAATAAATATATTTTAAATTTTAATTTACCCATTAGAAATAGTAAAAAATGGGCAATTATTTTTCAAAAAAGGTAATTATCTCTCATATAACATACATTATAAAAAAAATAAATAAATATTAATTATAGCTTTATTTGTATATAGGATAATTTTGAAAAAAAGGTCTTAGCTATGGAAACCATAATTGTTAATATGGAATCCAAAAACAATAGCTCAATAGTTTATCATGATAATAACTACAAGAAAATTATTTTCTGGTTTATTATTATTGAAATAATATTAGCAACCAATTTTACCAACCAAATTTTTTCATCCGACACTTTGTCTGAAAAGGCAATGTGTTTGGTTTATTCTTTCTTAATTTCAATAGTGTAAGTTGTTCATTTTTAATACATCTATTTATTTATTATTGGGTATTAACATTTATATTTTCATTTTAGAATCTATACTTTTGCAAAATTATATAGATTTACCTATGTAAAATTAATAAATTATAATGAAAAAAATTTAAAAAAATTATATTCCGGTCTCGAAAGATTATTCGAGGAAAGAAAACGTGTGACGGATTACGAACACACAAAAAAACTTATCCAGAATTATGAAAATTTTAAAAGAAAAAGTAGGTATAGGATAGTATTTATTCTTTAAATATTATATCTGTAGTAATGTATTAACAAACTATTTTTTTTTAGATTTTTGTATTAGAGATCAATTAGAACATCATCAACAACATCAACCACCATAAAGGGGACCACTACCAACACCTTAAAAGGGACCACCACCACCGCAACAACATCAACCACCGCAACAACCCACCACCGCAATAACCACCACCTCACAACAACAACCATTTATTTTTTTATTGTTTTAGACAATAATAAAAAAAATAAAATTATAATTAGAATATTTTTAATAGCATAGATGTCTTAGAGTAATAATATAGATAATATTGGATAATAAAAATAAAATAGAAATAATAGACCAATGAATTTTTTCTAATCAACTATTTGATGTATATCAGACATTGTTCTGGCCAAGCAACTATGGTATCATCGAATGGTTTTAGATAAAGAAAAGATTTAGTGGATCCTATCAGGTAGCCAAAAAACCTTAACAACGTGACACAAGTACTAGATTTCAGTAAATCAGTTATGTCCAATTAAATAGCTGTGGGCTCAATAGTTTTCCATATGACCACCCGAGTTTCATTATTTTAATAACTGCTGCCTTTATTTTATTTTTATTCAAATTTTTTTAATTAAACCCCTTAAAATAAAAAAAAAGATAATTCTATTTATAAAATTTTTATTTTTTTTTTTTTTTTTTTTTTTTTTTTTTTATTTTTAATTTCTTATTTTTTTATTTGATATTAAATAAATCATTTTAAACATAAAATGTCAAATAACAATAATATTAATATTAAGATATAACAAAAGTTGGCATTGTCAATACCAAGCAAATGATGGAGGATGGGTAGTACAGTTATTCATTAATTATATTAATTCATTATTCAATTTTAATTTTATTTCCTCATATGATAAAAATAATAATAGGAATACAACCACCGTAATGTAGCCAAAAAAAATTGGAAGACCCATTGAACCAAAATGTTCACCATATTAATAAAACAAAATTGATAATAGACCAAGAAATTTAGTAGTTATTAAAGATAATATCCATAGAGAAGTACATTGAAGCTATTACAATGAAAAAAATTCCTGTTTTAATCATTAGTTACAATAATAGGTAATATTATAACAAAGTTAAACTAACTTTGGATGTCCGTACAATGCAAGTTAAAAGTATAAACGGTATCGGTTTACTTTATTTCAAAATCCTCTGGTGGTATTCCGTTTTCAAATTCAAAAATTTTATTTGTATTTTTTTTACAATTATATATTATTGATTATTATTAATTAATATTTAGTATATCCTCCATGTGCTTTTAATATTACATCCATTCGGTCAGTGAGTGATTCATATAATGATTCTATAATTGATTTTTCAATTGAATAAAATGCAATTTGACCCACCCCACCCTTTCTAACACTTGTTGATACGTGATCCAAGAACATCAGTGTCATAAGCCCAAGAAGACCTACCATGGTTATAATCAATTTATTGGAACTTTACTTCATCCATAAACATATAATTTTCCCATTGTTCCACAATAAAATGCACAATCTCAAAAAAAATCTTTTTCTTCTATTATGTCTAATCAATGAAGGTCTCATAGCCTTCCTTTTATATATTATATTATGTCTCTTTAATACCATTCTTAATGACTTGTGGGTTTCTTTAAATTAGAACTATTTTTTGAAATACTTTTATTTTTTAATTGCCAACTTTTGAAAATTTCAAAAAACAATTTTAAAATAATAATAATATTTTTAAAATAATTTTTTTGGAATTTTTTTAAAATTTTTCTAAAATATTTTTTTTTTTTTTTTTTTTTTATTTATTAATTTTTTTATAATAACAATGAATGAGCTACTGTCATCTCTAAATAACTTTCGCGTAAATGAAGAGTTAAAAAACAGTAGTAATATTAGTGATAGGTAATACTATTATGAAATTCAAATTACAATACAATACAATAAATATAAAAAATAGTCGATTAATTAAAAGCATATTAATTGGTGTTTTCTCTTTTTAACTATTTATTATAGATTATTATATATAGTTTGGAATAATATATTTTTAAGAAATGAAATTCATAAACATATTTTAAAGTTTATTGAACATAGTGTTGTAGATCTTGATATATCCTATGACCAGCTTAAAGATAAATCATATATAACAAAACTTTTCTGGTATGGTGATCTACTACCAGATAAAAATGAATTTCCACCATTCTTGACAGATTTATATTTAATCAGTTTTAATAAAATGTTAACTCCAACAACTTTACCAAATACAATTACTACACTCACATTCGATGATGATTTTAACCAAGTAGTTCCACCCGGCACATTACCAAATAGTATTACAACACTCACATTCGGTTATAATTTTAACCAAGTAATTCTACCCGGCACATTACCAAATAGTCTCACAACACTCACATTCAGTTATGGTTTTAACCAAGTAATTCCACCCGGCACATTACCAAATAGTCTCACAACACTCACACTCGGTGATGATTTTAACCAAGTAATTCCACCCGGCACATTACCAAATAGTCTCACAACACTCGAATTCGGTGGTGATTTTCAGAAAGTAGTTCTACCCGGAACATTACCAAATAGTCTTACGACACTCGCATTCATTCATTTTTTTAACCAAGTTATTTCACCCGGTACATTACCAAATAGTATTATAACACTCACATTCGGTCATGAATTTAATCAAGTAGTTCTACCCGGCACATTACCAAATAGCCTCACAACACTCAAATTCGGTGATGAATTTAATCAAGTATTTCTACCCGGAACATTACCAAATAGCCTCACAACACTCAAATTCGGTGAGGAATTTAATCAAGTAATTCCACCCGGCACATTACCAAATAGTCTCGCAACACTCACATTCGGTGATGATTTTAACCGAGTAATTCCGCCCAGTACATTGCCAAATAGTCTCACAAAACTCAAATTTGGTGACAAGTTTAACCAAGTAGTTCTACCTGGAACATTACCAAATAGTCTCACAACACTCACATTCGGTTATGGTTTTAACCAAGTATTTCTACCCGGCACATTACCAAATAGTCTTACAACTCTCACATTGGGTCCTACATTTAAAAAAGTATTTCCACCCTTTTCATTACCAAATAGTGATACCAACAAAGTTTTAACATATAAATTTTTACCGCCTGAAATAATTTATAATGATTAAACAACAAAGAATCATAAGTTTTATTCAAATGCAGCAACACCAACTAACAACTACAACAACTATAACTATACCAATAATAATAAAACAAAATAATAAAATAAAAAAGTATTATAAAAACTATATTTATTTAAATAAATAAAAAATAATAAAAAACAATTATGATTATGATTATAATAATTATCTTAATAAAAAAAAAAGAGTTTACTCCCGCCACCACTCCCAAAACACTCTTACACTAACACCAATATCACCCATAGCTAATCAAGAAGGAATATAGACCAGAAATAAATCAAAATATGAAGGAAAATGATCAAGAGGAACAACATATCAACGAATCATACAAATGAAGATAGTAAAATTGTATTAAACATTAGAGACTTGGGCGGAAACCATATCTTTGCTATCGTGTGTGTTATTGCTAGTGGCGACAATCTTCGTTGTGTTACTATCCCAAGGGATCACTCTTGCATCCTTTAGGATTTAGAAAATAAAACCAAACTGCTTAAAATAATACTAATCAAACTTTTTTTTCCATGACCATTTTGAAATAATTTCTTTCCATGAATATTTCAAAATATCTGTTATTGTTATTGCCATTGCCACTATAGAAACTAAAATATATGAGTGAAACAAATAATAATGAAAAATTTATCAGACCATTTTAATTTTGCAATTTTTTTTTTTAAATTTTTTGGGAAAATTTTAAAATAAAATATTATGTGGTTGTTTAAATGTATAAAAATTTTTTTTTTTTTTGAAATTTTTATATGGGAAATGTTAATTTTTTATTTAAATTTCCTATATTAAAATTTTTTTATTTTTTTTAAAATTTTTAAATGGCATGTTTTTATCCAACTACATAATAGATATTTTTATTTTTATTTTTATTTTTATTATAATAATAAATGGATGAGCTATTATCATCTCTAATTAACCTTCGCGTAAATGAAGAGTTAAAAAACAGTAGTAATATTAGTGATAGGTGTGCACAATACAATATAATACAATAAAAATAAATTTAATAAATTTATTAAAAGCATATTAATTGGTATTTTCTCTTTTTAACTATTTATAATAGATTATTATATATAGTTTGGAATAATATATTTTTAAGAAATGAAATTTATAAACATATTTTAAAGTTTATTAAACATAGTGTTGTAGAATTTGATAAATCCCGTTATGACCAGTTTAAAGATAAATCATATATAACAACACTTAAGTGGTATGGTGACCCACTACCAGATAAAAATGAATTTCCACCATTCTTGACAAATTTATATTTGTACCGTTTTCATAAAATGTTAACCCCAACAACTTTACCAAATACAATTACTACACTCAAATTCAGTGATAAATTTAACCAAGCAGTTCCACCCGGCACATTACAAAATCCCCAACATCACAAACTTCAAGGCACCCATCTTCTCAAACTCTTTAAAGGAAAACAATCAAACCATCATCAATGTTGAAATCTTACGTGATGTCTGTTTTAAAAACACTGACTCAATACAAAATAAACCTGATATTGTAGTCATTGATAAAGTAAAACACATCATCCGTGTTATTGATGTATGTATCCCTTTCGATGGTAATATACTGTTCAGACAACATGAAAAACTATTGAAATACGATTACTTCAAAAAACACTTTAAGAACCAATACAAAGACCCAGATGGCAGATCATTTGATGTACAAATAATCCCAATAGTCATAGGTGCATTTGGCAGAATTATAACTAAAGAAGTTCCCCACACTGAAAAAGATATAACTCTCACCATCAAATCCCTCAAAGATTGTTTAAGTCTACTTCCACTTCCTGAAACCGAAAAGGTTAATTTGTTCAAGAAATTACCAAGAAAAGCAATAATTGGTACTATCCTATCTCTCCAAAGTTGGACCCAAAAATTTAAAGCCTCATAATAAGAAATCAATTGTTAATTTTTCAAATTCCTATAAATTTAATTCCCCCTCTGCTAATTACTTTGTTTGCAATATAATTTTTTAAAAAAAAATATCTTTTCCTTAAACATAATATTAAATAAAGTAATCAGTCATGATTAACATTCTTATACCAAATAGTATTACAACACTAAAATTCGGTTGTAGTTTTAACCAAGTAATTCTACCCGGCACATTACCAAATAGTCTCACAACACTCAAATTCGGTTTTGGTTTTAAGCAAGTAGTTCTACCCGACACATTACCAAATAGTCTTACAACACTCACATTCGGTTATTATTTTGACCAAGTATTTCTACCGGGCACATTACCAAATAGTCTCACAACACTCAAACTCGGCTATAGTTTTAACCAAGCAATTCCACCGGGCACATTACCAAATAGTCTTACAACACTCTCACTCGGAACCAATTTTAATCAAGTAGTTCCACCCAGTACATTACCAAATAGTCTCACAACACTGACATTCAGTTATAATTTTAACCAAGTAGTTCTACCCGGCTCATTACCAAATTGTCTTACAACACTCACACTCGGTTCTTGTTTTAATCAAGTAATTCTACCCGGCTCATTACCAAATAGTCTCACAACACTCACATTCGGTTCCGATTTTAACCAAGTAATTCCACCCGGCCTATTACCAAATAGTCTCACAACACTCACATTCGGTATCGATTTTAACCAAGCAATTCCACCAGGCTCATTACCAAATAGTCTCACAACACTTACATTCGGTTATTATTTTAACCAAGTAGTTCTACCCGGCTCATTACCAAATAGTCTCACAACACTCACACTCTGTGATAGTTTTAACCAAGTAGTTCCACCCGGCCTATTACCAAGGTGAGGAGTAACACCGTAAAAAAACATCTGGATCCTGATATCCACCCAAATTCAGAACTCTGCCATTTTAAATGGTATGAATCGTTAAACGATACCCGGTCCGGTCTCATCAATCAGAATGCATTGCAGGTATAACACAGACTAGACCAAACCACAAAGATTGTAATACTGATCTTAGTGGCCCCGGCTTATATGAACAGAAGCTGGCTCTGACTACCACAGAAAAAATAGCCAAGGTAATAATAAATATGTCCGCACCAAGTGAATCAATGAATTCCTAAACAAAGTAAAAACATAACATTAATACTAAAAAAAACTATAAATAAAGTGGTCAGTTCATGACTAATAATTAAATACCAAATAGTCTCACAACACTCACATTCGGTGATGAATTTAACCAAGTAATTCCACCGGGCTCATTACCAAATAGTCTTACAACACTTAAATTCAAAACTAGTTTTAACCAAATTCTACCCGGCACATTACCAAATAATCTCACAACACTCACATTCGGTAATAATTTTAACCAAGCAGTTCCACCCGGCACATTACCAAGGTGAGGAGTAACACCGTAAAAAAACATCTGGATCCTGATATCCACCCAAATTCAGAACTCTGCCATTTTAAATGGTATGAATCGTTAAACGATACCCGGTCCGGTCTCATCAATCAGAATGCATTGCAGGTATAACACAGACTAGACCAAACCACAAAGATTGTAATACTGATCTTAGTGGTCCCGGCTTATATGAACAGAAGCTGGCTCTGACTACCACAGAAAAAATAGCCAAGGTAATAATCAATATGTCCGCACCAAGTGAATCAATGAATTCCTAAACAAAGTAAAAACATAACATTAATACTAAAAAAAAACTATAAATAAAGTGGTCAGTTCATGACTAATAATTAAATACCAAATAATCTTACAACACTCACATTCGGTGATGAATTTAACCAAATAGTTCTACCAGGCACATTACCAAATAGTCTCACAACACTCACATTCGGTTATTATTTTAACCAAGTAATTCCACCCGGTTTATTACCAAATAATCTTACAACACTCACATTGAGTCATATATTTAAAAAAGTATTTCCACCCTGTTCATTACCAAATAGTGATCCCAACAAAGTTTTAACATATAAATTTATACTGCCTGAAAAGGAATATTATGATGATTAAACAACAAAAATCAAAAGTTGCAGTCCAACAAGACCGATAATAATAGAAAAATAAAAAAAATGGTATTATAAAACTATTTTTATTTAAATAAATAAAATAATAAAAAGTAATTAGGGATTATAATTATTAGCTTAACTAAAAAAAAGACTGTAAAAATTTTGTTCCTTTTCAAAAAAAAAATAGTTTGTTCGATTCATATTATAATAACCCCTAAATTAAATTAAATAACAACTACATAAAACAAAAAGCAAATATTAAATAAAAGTATTGTATTTTATTATAATTATTTACCCCCAAAAAAAAATAAAAAAATAAAAAAATAAATAAATATAATTATTACTTTACTCTGTGCAATCAATTCAAATACTGTATTATATATTGTTAAAAATATATTTATTACAGTTACTAAAGGTTTTACAATTACATACTGTAAAATGTTTTTCTACATATAAAAAGATCAAATGTTAGGGGTATCATCAATAGAATTCTAATTATATATCTTTGATGATTGGGTGATACATAGCATTTTAAATGTTTATATATTAAATGTATCGTTATATAAAAAGTTAACATACATAATATAGAACCAAATAGCTTTAAAGCTATTAATTTTACAGAAAATATAAAATTTTTACATATCATTTTTATATATTTTTATATAATAATTTATTAAAATATATAAAATAATTATATATAAAAGCTATATTAAAAACAATATGGCTTTAAAAAGTTTAACTTTAATTAAAGTTAATATTTAAATTAAGTGTAATTTAAATCACAATTTTTTTTTTCAATATAAATTTTTAATTATAATCTCATTCCATATAGAGTTATTCATGATTAACCCACAAAAAAAAAAAAATAATAAAAAAATAAAAATAAAAACAATTTAAATAAAGAAAAACATTATAAAAAAAAATTTTCATAATAGATTACCCCTTTCTCAATTTATAACTTATCTTAAATATTCAAGTGAGTTGTTGTTTTATGTATCGTGATTAAAAAATAAATACAAAATAAATAATTATATTAAAATAATTTAGCCATTCAAAAAAATGTTTTAAAAAATCATTGATAACTTTTGGTGTCAATAGAAAATATTATAAATATATTTAGAGTATACCTTTTTTTTTTAAATTATTGAGAATCAATCTATTGCCTTTCTTGTCTAGTCTACTAGATATATTTTTAACTAAACGGTTTTTAAAAATTTATCAATCATTACATCATTTAAAAAGGTATTATTTTAGTTTCTTTTTTCATTACCAAAGAAAAACAAAATTAAATTTTTTCCTATTTTGTATATATAATAATAATAAATAAAAAAAATTGAAACTAAATATAATTTACATATGTAAATTAAATATTGGAAAATTTGATATTACCCAATTAAACTCAAACATTCCATTTTTAACAACTTATCAATTTGACCCCAATTATATTTAATAAAATAATTCCTTCAAGGATAATGACATTTTTAATAACCTATTTTAAAGACACAGTGTGTTTATTTTTAATTATATTTGTATATCTAAATTAGTATTTTTTTTTTTTTTAATTTAATTTTTTTTTTTTTTTTTTTTAAATTTTAAATAATATTTTTTTACACTATAAATAAAAAAAAATTATAATTTTATTTTATATATTTGGAAAAAAAAAAAAGAATAAAAGAAAAGTAATGAAATTTTTATCCATTGTTTTAGGTTTTTTATTGCTTATTGCTTTTGTATCTGCCGAAAATATATTTGACCAAGTGGGGTTGGAAATGGAGATCCAGGCATCATGGTCTGGAGGCTCAACAAATTATTATCAATATAATGTTACAATTTCCAATGACTCACCATTCACCCTATTATCAATTTCCATCTTTGCTACAAACGGTGTCGAATTAAGAAATAGTAGTGATCTTTGGAATGTTCGTTTTAAAGATAATATATTTAGATTATATGAAGGTGCCACTATCCATTCACACAGTAATTTTAAATTCTCTTTCATTGCTAAAGGTGGCACTATTCCACAATTAAAAGTGAGAAGTGTTGTATACCAACCATAAACAAAAAAAAAAATAAAAGATTTTAAAGAAATTTCTTTTAAAAAACTTTTTTTGACACTTTTAAAAAAATCTTTTCCAAAAAAAAAATTATAATTTTTTTGTAAAATATAAAAAAAAAATAATATGTTATTTTTTTTTTAGATTTAAAAATCTGCACACACACTAATGTTAAAAAACTTTTATTTATTATTTATTATTTACTATTTATTATTTATTATTAAACATTATTGTTTATTTTGTTAAAATGTAAAAAAATTTAAATCTATTTTGGGTTACTAAATATTTTGATTACAACAAACTGTTTTTTTTTTTAATTTGTATCTTTAATGATTTGATCATATAACTATGACCTATTATAACAATTAGTATTATTGAAATTACATTTGTATTTATTATAAACTACACATCTCTTAAATTCTAAAATCAAAGGAAACCAAAAAAAAACAGGGTAAAACAATAAAATGCAAACAATGGTTATTCAAATAATAAAAAAAATAAAAATAAAAAATAAAAAATAAAAAAAAAATAAAATAAAAAATGCCTTGTGTCTTGGTTCATTTTCAAAAAAAAATTTTGTTGAATTTTTTATTGTAAAAATGCCTTGTGTCTTGGTTCATTTTCAAAAAAAAAACAAATATAAAATAAAAATAAAAAAACAGATATCCAGAAAAAAAAAAATAAAAAAATGTGTGTGTGTGTGTAGATTGATCTAAAAAATTAACACACACACCACACAAATTAATGTAAAAAATTAAAAAAAAAAAAAAAAATCTTTATTTATTTCATTATATTTGTAATTGTTTTTTTTTGTTAAAATGTAAAAAAAATTAATATCTATTTTGGTAATAATAAAATGGGTTGAAAAACCCAACCATTTGGGCAGTTATAATAAAAAAACTGTTTATTTTTTTTAATTTTTTAATTTTTTTTTAATTTTTTAATTTTTTTTTTTTTTTTAATTTTTTTTTTATAAAAGTTTTAAATAATTTTTTTTTTTTTTTCATTTCAATTTAATTATTTTTTATTCCTTATTTATTTATTTATTTATTTATATTATTTATTTTCAAATAATTATTAATAATTATATATCTCTAAATAATTTTAATAGTTTCTTGATATAAATAAATTTTTGTATATATTTTAATTTTGTATAAATAAAAAAAAAGAAAATAAAAAAATGGCCACAGACGGTTCAACAGGAAAAACATGGATTGATGTCCAAAAAAAAGTATGTATATTTATTTATTTTCTGAAATATTATAAAAAAAGTTTGATATATTAATTCAAAAATTTTTTTTTTTTTTTCTTAAAAAAGACCTTCACTGGTTGGGCAAACAATTATTTAAAAGAAAGAATTTTAAAGATTGGTGATCTTGGTACAGATTTAGAAGATGGTGTTCTTTTAATTAATCTTTTAGAAATTATCTCAAGCAAGAAGATCCTCAAATATAACAAAACCCCAAAGATCAGAATGCAAAAGATTGAAAACAACAACATGGCTGTTAACTTTATTAAAAGTGAAGGCTTAAAATTAGTTGGTATTGGTGCTGAAGATATTGTCGATTGCCAATTAAAATTAATTCTCGGTTTAATCTGGACTTTAATTTTAAGATATCAAATTCAAATGTCAGAAAGCGATAACTCACCAAAAGCTGCTCTTTTAGAATGGGTTAGAAAACAAGTTGCTCCATACAAAGTTGTCGTTAATAACTTTACCGACTCATGGTGCGATGGTCGTGTTCTCTGTGCTCTCACTGATTCATTAAAACCAGGTGTCAGAGAAATGAACACTCTCACCGGTGATGCCGTCCAAGATATCGATCGTTCTATGGATATCTCTCTTGAAGAATATGAAATTCCAAAGATTATGGATGCTGTCGATATGAATTCACTTCCAGATGAACTTTCAGTTATTACCTACGTTTCATATTTCCGTGATTACGCCCTCAACAAAGAAAAAAGAGATGCTGATGCTCTTGCTGCTCTTGAAAAGAAGAGACGTGAAACCAGCGATGCCTCACAAGTTGAAGCTTATGGTCCAGGTTTAGAAGGTGGTTTCGTTAACAAGAAAGCTGATTTCACCATTAAAGCCATCAACTACTATGGTGAACCATTAGCCAACGGTGGTGAAGGTTTCACTGTCAAAGTTAAAGATGCCGAAGGTAACGAATATCCAGTTTCATTAGTTGATAATAACAATGGTACTTATGATGGTTCATACACCGTTGCTGTTCCACAAGACTACACTGTCGTCATTCAATTAGATGATGTTGATATCAAAAACTCACCATTCAACGTCAAGATTGACGGTTCAGATCCAAAAGAATCAAATGCTTATGGTCCAGGTTTAGAAGGTGGTAAAGTTGGTCAACCAGCTCAATTCAAGATTCAAGGTCGTAACAAAGAAGGTGAATCACTCACTCAAGGTGGTGATGATTTCACTGTTAAAGTTAATGGTCCAAATGGTCCAGTTGATGCCACCGTCAAAGATAATGGTGATGGCTCATACGATGTTGAATACAACCCAACTACTGGTGGTGACCACAACGTCGAAGTTTTCCTTCGTGGTGAACCATTAGCTCAAGGTCCAGCTGATGTTAAAATCTTAAACTCTGATGCCAACAACTCATACTGTGAAGGTCCAGGTTTCGAAAAAGCTCAAGCTAAACGTCCAACTGAATTCACCATTCACAGTGTTGGTGTTGATAACAAACCATGCACTGCAGGTGGCGATCCATTCCAAGTTGCCATCAGTGGTGGTTCACCAATTCAAATTGCCATCCAAGATAACGATGATGGTACTTACACTGTTAGCTATACCCCAGAACAACCAGGTGACTATGAAATTCAAGTTACTCTCAATGATGAACCAATCAAAGATATTCCAAAATCAATTCACATTAAACCAGCTGCCGACCCAGAAAAATCATACGCTGAAGGTCCAGGTTTAGAAGGTGGTGAATGCTTCCAACCATCACAATTCAAGATTCACGCCGTCGATCCAGATGGTGTCCACAGAACTGATGGTGGTGATGGTTTTGTCGTTACCATCGAAGGTCCAGCTCCAGTTGATCCAGTTATGGTCGACAATGGTGATGGTACATACGATGTTGAATTCGAACCAAAAGAACCAGGAGAATACACAATCAATCTTACTTTAGATGGTGATAATGTCAATGGTTTCCCAAAGACTGTTATCGTCAAACCAGCTCCATCACACGAACACTCATACGCCAAAGGTAAAGGTTTAAAGAAAGCTTATGACAATGAAGTCGCTGAATTCAAGATTTACGCCGTTGATACCACCGGTAAACCAAGAACTGATGGTGGTGATCCATTTGAATGTAACATTACTGGTCCATCAGGCGATGTCCCAGCTAAAATCACTGATAACAATGATGGTACTTACAACGTTGAATACGAACCATTAGTTGCCGGTCCACACGAAATTAATGTTTCAATCAGAGGTAACAATATTAAAGATATGCCAAAGAATGTCGAATGTCTTGAAGGTGCTGACTCTGGCTCATCATTCGGTAGTTTCACTTTCACCGTTGCTTCCAAAAACAAGAAAGGTGAACCAAAAACTGTTGGTGGTGATAGATTTTTAGTTGCCATTACTGGTCCAGCCGAAGAAATCCAATTAAATGCTATTGATAACCAAGACGGTACCTACACTGCTGCTTATTCATTAGTTGGTAACGGTCGTTTCAATATTGCTGTCAAATTAAACGATAGACACATCGAAGGTTCACCATTCAAAGCCAATATTGGTGAAGTCAAGAAGAATCCAGATGTTCCATCATTCACCACTACCGCCAAAGCTAACTATGATGAAGAAAACTAAAAATTTTGTAACACTTTAAAAAAAAAACCAAAATAAAAATTAAAATATATATAAAAATTAAAATAATAATTTTTTTTACTTTGTTTTTTGTAAAATTTATATTTTTTGTTAATAACTAAATATCTTTGTCATTATATATCTAATAAGATTATAATTTTTTTCTAAATTTTTTTTTCTTATTTATTTCAAATTTTAAAAATTAATTTAAAAAAAAATTATAAATTATGTGATAAAAAATACACATAATTTATAATTTTTTAAAATTTTTCAAATACTAAAATATTAAATATTTTTTATCACATAAAATGGATGATTTATTTTTAAGAGTATTTAAAAACAAATATTTAAATAGTATAATTTTTGGTTTTATCAAACAATCAAATAAAGAGCTATTGTATTTTACATATAATTATTATACTATTCCACTTACTGTAATAATTAAAAATAATGACAAAGAGTTATTAATTGAAAAAATAAAATTGCATGGAAAGTATTTTAATAAAAACAGTAATTTTTTAAATCAAAACAATAAAGAAATATATAAATATTATTTTGACATTGACCCACTTGATATACTGGTCGAATGGGATGGATTTGATATTGACCTATTAAAATTATTAGACAACAATTATCCAAATCAATTAAAATTCACTACAAACCACCTTCATACAATTTCTAAAAGATCAAACATTACTTTATTAAAAGAAATCGAAAAAAGAATTTTCCATAGCAAAATAAATAAAAAAATTTCATGGAATTGGAACTTGGATTTTGATTTAAGTAAAAAATCAAATGATATAATTGAAGTTTATAAATTTATCAAAAATAATTACTTGGTAAAAAAGTTAGAAAATAGATTAATATTATTATTAAGTTATATTTCTAAAAAAAACAAATCCAATGAACTAGGTTGTTTTTTTTTAAATGAATTGGTATCCGTTTCATACAATAAAGGTAGTTAAGTTTTTTTAAATTTATGAAAAATATTATTTCTTTTTTTCTAATTTTTTTAAATCTATAGATATCTCATTAAATAATAAAACTTATGAAAGGGTTTTTTTAAATTCATTAGAACTAAAAGATTTGGAAATGATTAAAATATTGTTTTCTATAGTTTCAGAAAATAATACAACAATAAAAGAGGATATTAGCGAAGCAGACTATGTTTCAATAATGGGATATAAATTATTGAAAAAACAATTTAGCAGAATCTCGGGAAGATTTTTGATCAAGTCGAAATTGGTAGAGTTATTCAAGGAAGTATATCCCATTTGTAATAGGTCAGATCAATCTTTCTGTGGTTGTTGTGGTTATAATTTTTGTGATAGCATGGAAATTGCTGAATACATGTTTCAAAATGGTTTAAGTACTAAAGCAACTATATTTTCAGTAAACTGTGTCAGAGATGACCTATCAAACCTTCACCTATTTGAAAAGGTTGAAATGGGTGTACCAAGTAATATTACTATAGAAAAGTTTAATCTTTTAATAAAACATTTTAAAAAATTTGGGCCACATAACTATAAAAATAGACAGTTTTGCAAAATATATTTTACAAAAAATGCTTTTTATGGTGATATTGATTTCTTCAAAAAATTCACAAGTGAACATGGAAGAGCAGATGTCAATCTAAAATCTGCATTAGAATTCGGATACAACGATATTTTAAACTATGCATTAGATAATATTGAAAATATTAAGCAAAGAGATCTTTATTCTCTCCTACTTTCCACGGATGATGAAATTATTATTGAAAAAATTAAAGGCCTACTCAATTTTAATGAAAAGTCTGAATATGATTCAAAAATTATTTTCGAAAGTAGTTTTAAAAATGCAACCAATAGAGAAGTTCGTGCACAACTGATTAATAGAGCTAAAAGATTTCCAGGATTACTAGAATGGTTTTTTAATACAGTTCTAACCCCCTCAACAAACAATTCTCTTGAATTATTCCTCAATATCGGTATAAACCCCACTACTCTATGTAGAACAAATATAAATGATCCTGCTACTATTAAGTCTAGTGATCTTTCAAATCATATAATAGAGTTTTTGTTATCAAATAAATTAAGAATGAAATTTATTAAATCTCTTATAATTGTTTTAACAAGATTACCCACCAAACCAAAAATAAAAACTCTTTTATTTTTAATGGATATAAATATAATTACAATAGATTTTACAAGCACATTGGTAAAGAATTCAGTAATGTCTTCAAATGCTCAAATTATAGATTTATTACTAAACAAAGGAAACTTTACAAATTTAAATATTTTTAAATTAAAAGATAATGATTTATTAAATTATATAAAGGAAGTTCATTATTTAATTAAACATTTTACCTTAAAAAAAAAAAAAAATGAAAACTATAGAAATATTTTTATGTACCCTTAAAAAAAATAGTTTACAGATAAATAAAGTTTTTTTTCTAATAAATTAATAAATAATTGATAAAATGAATTATCTTTATTATTGCTTATATTAATTTTTATATATTATTTTTTTATTTTATTTTTTTTTTTTTTTTTTTTTTTTTTTTTAAAAAGTATAATTTTTTGAAAAAAAACTTGTTTATAAAATTTAAATGTAAAATTTAAATCACCACTATTAATAAAATTAACTACCAATATATATGCATCATCTATTTTTCTATTATTACTATTATTTTTATTTTTACTATTGCTTATATTATTATAACAATAGTTATTTTTACTATTTACTTTAATAATGATGTCATTGATTGATAAATTTAAAATGATTAAAAGAGTGGTGAAATTTTTTTGAAAATTGTTTAATTTTACATATGTAAAATTTAGTTATGAGCAAGAAGTGATTTAATTTTGGCAATGGCTAAGGCAGGCTGTGGGATTAAAAAAAAAAAAAAAAGAAGATTAGTATATGTTATTATCCAAAATAATTTATTAAAGTTTAAATACACACATTTAAATGTTTTGGACTATAATTGTTGTATAAAAAAAAAAGAAAAAAAGAAAAAAATTAATATTAAGGTCATTTAAAAATAAATAAAAAAACCAGTTTTAACACTTACCAAACACGAGTACAATTCATAATTGTGTGACACTTGTAAATCTTCATGTTATCTTCTGAAATAATAGCAAGACGATCTTTAGTTGATGAATCTCTTGAGTCAGCAATCCAACGATAAGCTTGGAGTAATACAGCTGGACCTAAATAACCACCATCACCACCTTCACTCCACCAATAAGATGGACATGAGGTTGAACAACAAGCACATAAAATACATTCATAGAGACCATCTAATTTATGTCTGTTTTCTTTTGATTGTAATAATTCTTTACCATTGTAACGTGGGGCATCAACAGCTGGTTCTAACCATGGTTTGATTGATTTGTGTTGTTCATAGAAATGAGTAAGATCTGGAATTAAATCACGAACGACGTGCATATGTGGAAGTGGATAAACTTTAATTGAGTTACCACGAATAGCTTCTGTTGTTTTTTTGATACATGCTAAAGTATTTGAACCATCAATATTCATAGCACAACTACCACAAATACCTTCACGACATGAACGACGGAATGATAAAGTTGGATCTTGAGTATTTTTAATTAATAATAATGCATCTAAAATCATTGGACCACATTCCTTTAAATTGACGTTATAAGTTTGAACATATGGTTTAGCACCAACTTCTTCATTATAACGATAGATTTGAAAGTTAACAACTATTTATAAAAATACAAATTAAAATAATAGAGTTAATATTATGAAGAAAAAAAAAAAAAAAAAAAAAAAAAAAAATTTTAATTATAAAACCTACAATGATCTTTCTTTTCGGCAGCTTTAACAACTGGGACTTCAGCTTTAGCTTCAGTGGTGTCTAATTTATATCATATATTTAAAAAACATTTCATTAATACTAAATTCTGATTATATAATGTTTATAAATAAATTATAATTATAATTTTTAAAATTTAAATGTTGATTGTGATAGTGATTATAAAACATTTTTATAAACCAATTTAATCCAATTCAAATTCAAATTTGATTATTAAATTTACAATTGATTGTAAAATGTGATTAATTATTTATTTATTTCTGATACTGCAGTATTTAATTTTATTTTTATGTTATTAATAAATTTAAAGCCATTATTGCGGATTGCTATTTTTGATATTAATTGTTTATCTATTGCGTTATATTACTGCTACTATTGTTATAAACATTTCTATTAAAATATAAAAAGTAATTTTATAATTTCTTTTTTTTATTTTTTTTTTGTTAAAATTTTTTAATACATACAAAAAGCAGCTTGAAGACCACTTGGTCTCATAGCAATAGTTGATGCTCTTCTTAAAATGTTTGAGATCATTTTTTATTTTATATTGTTTTCTTTAAATTTCTTAATAAAAAAAAAATAATATATTAAATTTATAAAAACAAATAATATGAAATAAAAAAAATAAACAAAAATAAAAAAAAAATTTTTAAAAATTATTTTTTTTTAAAAAATTATTTTTTTTTCATTTTTTTTTTTTTCATTTTTTTCAATTTGTAATTCTTTTTAATGAAAAGGTGCGGATGAGGAGAACTTCAGTTTAAATTTATATATAATTAAAGAATATGAAAGTTTTTTTAAAAAAAAAAAATCAAATAATTAAATTTGGTATATTATTCAATATAACTCTTTGTTATATCTGAAAAAAATCAAACTAATGTCACGACTGCGAATGAAGTTCGTCATAAAAAAAATCAAAAAAATTTTATTTTTGATAAAAATGGTAATTCGAAATCATTTTAATTTTTTAAAAAAAAAAAAATTTTAATTTGTTTTATAAAATTTAAATATGTAACACTGTTTCATTATTATTTTAATCATACCACATACACTTTTTAGTATTAATAACATACAAAAAAAAACAGGTTGGCTATTTTTTTGGAAACGAGGGGAATAATTATTATAATGTAAACAATATTATTATTGCACATACCCCCGAATTCAAATTAATAAATGTATATTCCTTAGTTTATTAAAAACTAAAAAAAAAAATTAAAAAAAAAAAATAAAAAAAAACAATTGTTTATATATTATTACCACACGAAAAAAAAAAACCATTAATTCTATTAAAATATTGATTGATTCCATTAAAACTACAAACAAATCCATTTTTATCACAAACACTTTTTAGTTATATTAATACAATATTATGCACACAGGCTTTGAACAAAAAAAAAAAATAAAAAAAATATTTTTAAAATACCCATTTTTTAATTTTATTTGAATTTGTTTTATGATTAATTTTTTTTATTTTTTATTTTTATTTTCAAGAAAAAAAAAATCATAAACCAATTTTTTTTTTTTTTTTTTTTTTTTGATTCAATCATTATTTATTTTTTTTTATATTTTTAATTTTTATATATATCTATATATTATATTTATAATAAAATGGTCAAATTTGCCAATCAAGCTGAATTAAACAATGCTTTAGTAAACTTTAGACAAACCCAAACTGGTTGGGTCTTAATTACCTACAAAACTCCAACTGAATTAGAATATAAACAATCAGGTACCGATATTGCAGCACTTGCCTCATTACTCGAAGATAATCAAATGGCCTATATTCTCATCCGTTTAGAATACACTCCAAACGACCCAGGTTTCAAGGAAGGTGGTTTAGATAACAAAGCTAATTTCAAAGATATCTTTATTTCATGGACCGGTCCAAAAGTTGGTATTCTTGAAAGAGGTATGAAACTTTATAAAAAAAATAATAAAAAAAAATAAATATACTAACATTATTTTTTCACAAATAGGTAAAAAATCAGAACACAGAGGTGATGTTCAAGCTTTATTACAACCACACCACGCTGATATTAGTGCTATTAATAAAGCCAACTTTAACGCCGCCACCATCAAAGATCGTGCCAACCCACTCTCAGGTTCACACGTCATTGATTAATTTTAATATAAATAAAATAATATAATAAAAAACTATTTAATAAATATATGTAAAAATATTAAAAAAAAACATTAACGATATTGTAAGATTTTTAAATTCCTTTATTTCATCGATTACCACAAAGATTTTCAAATCTAATAAAACATATATTTAGAATTATAATATTAAATAAAATTTTTTGATAAAAAAAGTTTGAATATCTAATATTTTAAATTAACATTTTTTTATTATTTATTTTATTTAATAAAAAAAAAAATGAAAAATTTGATTGAAGCGATAAAATACAAAATCTATGAGTTTTTTTTTTTTTAAATTTTTTTTTTATATATATTTTTTTTATATTTTTTTATTTTTTTAAATTTTTTTAAAAGTTTGGATTTTTTTTTTTTATATAAGGTTTTATATTAATTTAATATTTAATTGCACATACCACAACCAGATTTTTGACCGCCTTGAGTGGAGCTTGGTTCTGATGGATCGATTTGAACACCTGGAGCTGGTGGTTCATCTGAAATAATTGGGCCATGACTTGGACGGCTCATTAAATGGTAAATTTGAGTTAAAATATTTTGGAAGGCTAATTCAACATTGCTTGAATCAAGAGCTGAGGTTTCAATAAAAGTAAGTTTGTGTTTTTCTGAAAATTCTTTGGCTTCGTCTGTTGAAACTTCACGTAAATGTCTTAAATCGCTCTTGTTACCAACCAACATAATTTCGATATTACGATCAGCATTTTCACGTAATTCTGTTAACCATCTTTCGACACTTTTATATGTAGCTTGTTTAGCAATATCGTAAACAAGTAATGCACCAACAGCACCACGATAATAACTATTTAATTAAATAATTTTAAATTAGAATTGGTCTTTAAAGAAATATGTATAAAAGATTGAATTTATTATATATGTTATTGCTATTTGTTATTGCTATTGTTTATTATTATTATTATTATTATTATTATTATTATTATTATTATTATATAAGTGTCTTTAAATATTATAAAGATGATGCTATATTTTGATTTTTGATTTCTTTTATTGTCATATCTGTTTTATGCGATATAAGCCCTGATATCTGCGTTTTATTCTAACAATACCAAAAGAAACTAAAATCCGATATATTATTCCTAAATCATCTTTATTCTTAAAGTCACTGTATATAGTTTTATGAAAGGGTAAATTTTAACACTTACGCTGAAGTAATGGCTCTATATCTTTCTTGACCTGCAGTATCCCAAACTTGAGCTTTAATAGTTTTACCTTCAGTTTGAATAGTTCTGGTTGCAAATTCTACACCAATGGTTGATTTGGTTTCGAGACTAAATTCATTACGAGTGAATCTAGATAATAAATTGGATTTACCCACACCACTATCACCAATGAGGACAACTTAATGGTTTAAAGAAAAAATAATTAATATTAATGCTATTTATTTTAAAAAATTTTATGATGTTCGTTTTTTTTTTTTTTTGTAAAAAAAAATCTTTTTGTTCTAAAATTTAAATACTATTAAACTTACTTTTGTATAAATAATCGTATTCTTCTTGTGAACCTTTTGACATTATTTTATATTATATGTATGTGTTGTTAGAAATGTATGATATTTATTAGGTTTTATATATTTTGGATGTTATTGATATATTAATAATAAATATTTATTATGGAAAAAAAAATATGTTGAAAATTATATAATCTATAATAATACAATATAATTATAATAAGTTATTATTAGTATAATTTAATTAATTTGAATATAATCCAAATGATATTTTTGATATTAAATAAAAAAAAAAAAACAATATAAATAAAAGAAAAAAAAAGTGTGACAAAATAAAAAAAAATTTAAAAAAATATAAAAAATTTAAAAAAAAAAAAAAAAAAAAAAAAAAATTAATTTTTAAAAAAAATTAAAAAAAAATAATAAAATTAAAAAATATATTATATTATAATAATAATAATTTGTTGTAGTAATAAAAATAATTAATATTCTTTTTATGATAATTATTTTAAGAGTACATAGAAATAAATAAAATAAAACAATAGAAAAAAAATAAAAATAAAAATAAAAAAAATAACAAAAAATAACAAACTTAAAAAAAACTAAAAAAAAAAAATAAAAAATTATAAATAAAGTGTAGATACAAACAATATTTTTATTTAATTAATATTTATAATAACTAAAATAGTTTTGAACTATTAGTATTTTTATACTATTATTCTTTATATATAATGTATTATTAAGTTATAAATGAAATGAATATAATAATAAAAATAAATAAAAAAAAATAATAAAAATTTTTAGTGTGTGTTTATTTTTTTATTAATTTTTTTTTTTAAAATTATTTTAAAAAAAAAATTAAAAAAAAAAATAAAAAGAAAAAAAATAATTTTAAAGAAATCAAAATGACCACGTGGTGGGTTGGTTTAATGACATTGAAAAAAAAAAAAAAAAAAAAAAAAACGAGATTACAGTTTAATTTAAATATGGGTTCTATGTAGTAATCGTAATGATTTAATATTAATAGTGGGAATATAATACAGTAAATTTTAAAAAAAGCTAAATAGTTTTTTGATTTATTGAATATTAAAGATTTTAGTTTGGATTCAAAATAAAAAGAGAGGTTACAAAATTGCTGTTATTTTTTTTTTTTTTAAATATTGTGTTATGTACAAAAATAGATTTTTATTTATATATATTTCAATTAATGGTGGTCTCCACAACTACCATTATGATCGCAATTATTATCTTTTTCTTTATTATCGTCAGGATTGTGTTCATGATTATGAACTTCGTCATGTTCACACTCGCATTCTTGTTCTTGTTTTTTTTCTATAAAGATGATGAAGGGTATTAGATAAAATTCGTTTATTTTTTTGTGGTTATTAATAATTTTTAAAATTAGTTACCTTTTTGTCTTAAAACTCTTTCTTCATCGCCACTTTCATCACTACTTTCATCATAGGGTTTCTTTTTATGAAATATACAACATTCTAATTAAAAGAATAAAAATGTTAGTACCAAAGTTATTTTATTAATTATACTTATATTTGTTTATATTATATAATATTATATTATTTGATAATTGTTTTCATATGGTTTATTAACATTGCAAAATAATGAATAAAAATGATTGATTTATAGCCAGGTTATTATTGTTATTGCCATTATTGTTTATTGTTTTTATAATTGTTATTTATTATTACCAATATCTTACTTTTTGATTTTTTCTTTCCTAAATGTTCATTATCAACTATACCATCTGTCCATTGAACTCTTTTTCTTTCTTTCTTATTTTTAATTACTAGCCTTAATTGTTGTGGTGGTGATGGTTGCTGTTGTGGTGGTTCAGGATTTTGTAATGTTAGTGTTGTTGTAGTTGTCGTTGTTGGAGCACTAGATAATGTAGGTGAGGTATACATAATTACAGTGATTATATTTTTATTTAATTTTATATTATTATTATTATTGTTATTATTTTAAATGATGTAAAAGTTTTTTTAAAAGTTCTCTTTATCTAGTTCATTTATTCGTTATAAAAAAATAAAGAAAAACAAAAAAAAAAAAAATAAAATATTTCAAAAAAAAAAAAAATAAATTAAATTAAAAAAAATAAAATAATTTTTTTTTCTTGAAAATACTATATTTTAAATTAATAAATAATATTTTAAAAGAATTAGTATTCCAAAAGAAAAAGAAGTTTTTTTTTTTTTTTTTTTTTTTTTTAAAAAAAAAAACATTTCCAAATAAATTTAAAACCAAATATATTTTTTTTAAATAATGAAAATTATTGTTTTTTCCGATTATATTAATTTTTATTTAGATATTTGTTGATATTTTAAAATTTAATTTATTCATCATCAGATAATTTTGATCTTTTAAATCTTTTATTTGAAAATGGAGCTTTTTCTTCTTGTAGTAAATCATTGAGTATATTTTCTTTATCTTGTAGTTCTTTTGAGTTTTGTTCTCTGGTTTTATAAGTGATAGATTTAGGTTGACCGATTCTGCTTCTAATGAGGATTTTTTCTTCCTTTGATTTAACCTTTTTAAGATTAACACGATTCTTTAATTGATTATAATAAACACAGTCATCTTTAACCATGAAAAAGTAATTTTGTTGAGATTGATCTGGAACAATGTCAGAAGTGAGTACTTTTTGCATTTTATATTGTTCACCATCAAGAGAGAAATCGTCTTCGTTATTATTATTGCTATTGTTTTCTTTAATATTTGGGGTAATAAAATATACAAATTTATCGGTGATACCCTTGACAACCGCCTTGTTTCTAATTTCATCATGACGACTGGCGTATTCAGCGACTTTATCATCACGAATATTATTTGGAATATAATGGTCTAATGGGTCAGTATCAAATGCAACTTCGGTAAAAGAGTTTGGCCATAATTCGAAATCTGGAAAAACTGGTAAAATACTTGTTGGTTTTAATGATGGATTGGTTGGATGGACAAATACATAGTTTGAAGCACAAATGTCAAATGTATTTTCAACCAATGTACTATCGCTAACTTTTTCTTCTTGAATCATTAATTGTTTATTATTGGTTGGTGAATTTGTAATATCGCCTGGTAAACTTGCACGTTTAACTGGTGGTCTACCAAATGTATTATCATCTGCTTTTGAAAGGTATTCAGTTCTTCTAAGCCAACCAACGTTTGGTCTAATTTCACTCTTCTTTTTAGCTGCACTCTTTTCTTCTAAATCTTGAACTGATAATGATTTTAAAAGTGGTTCATCACGTGATGGTACTCTGATTGGTGTTTTTGGTGTATTATAAACAGATGGATCAATTAGATCAATTGGAATACCCAATTGAGGTTCGGTTAAAAGTTGATGTTTATATTGACGCTCTAATGATGTAGTTTTATATTGGGTAAATCTATTGAAATCGGATTGTATTTTTAAAAATTTTGGTTCAAATGGTATCTCTGGTAATGAGTTTTGAAATTTTAATTTACATTGAAATTCTGATGGTTTATTATTAATTATATCTTGTTGTGATGCTTGTGATGATTGCGATGCTTGAGATGAATGATGATCTTTTTTATGGTGTTGGTGGTTTTGTGATTGGTGGTGGTGGTGGCTTGATGATGAGCTTGATGATGTATGTTTAGATGGTTGTCTTATTGGAGCTGGTGCTCCTATATTAACATTACCACTATTGTTACTTGTTGTTGATGTTGTTGTATTCATTATTATTATTATTATTAGTTTTTAAATCTACTTTTTTTTTTCTTTATCTATTTACAATATATATGCTACAAAAAAAAAAAAAAGAAATATAGATTTTTTTACAACAACAATTTTAAATATAATGAAAAGCAAAAAAAAAAAAAAATGAAATAAAAAATTTAAAAAAAAAAAAAAAATTAAAAAATTTAAAAAAAAATAATATTTTTTTAAATTTTTTATTTTCAATTATTTCATTTTAAAAAGGCTATAAATAAACTTAATTGAGTTAATAAAGATCCTTAATTGACCGTTTTCTATTTTTTCTTTAATATCTATTGTTTTATTTTATTTTATTTTTTTTTGGATAATTATTAATCTTTTTTGGATAATTTTGAAAAACTTTTAAATTGACCAACTAAATCGTTGTGGAAAGCTGATTCTAAAAATGTACCTTTGGTATCGAAATATAAATCTATTGATTTTGTGAATGGGTGTGAAATCTTTGGGTTTTTTGAATCTTCAATTTTAACTGAATATATTGGATCATATTTTGGTAATACTGAGCTAACTTTAATTTTCTGATTTATCTTTGCTTGCTGTTACAATATAATCTTTTTGAATAAAAATATTGATATAATATAAAATTAAACTAATAATAATATATCTAAATAATAAAATAAAAGGTTAGAATATAATGATAAAATATGTTTTTTATTCCAATATTGGGTATTTTACTAATACTTACAATCCAACACATAAAATTAAAACTGGTTTATTTTTTGGAAATGGGATTGGGTAGAATTGTGCAATGGCTGCTAAAACACATCCGAAAAATCCTAAAAGAACTTTGGTATAGTTTAATTTTTGATGTTGTGTATAGTTTAATTGAGTAGTTAAATACTATAAAATTTTTAAAATATTAATATATGATGGTTTAAAAAAGGGTATAGGTTTTTGGTGTTATTACTTTAATAATCGAGTCATCTAAAGTTTGTTTAATTGTATTGGTGTCATAAAGTGTTACTTGAACAGGCTTTTCCATTTTTATAAATATTAATTATCTTTAAATAAAAGTAAAAAGTTTTAATTTATAAAAAAAAAAATTAAAAAAAAAAATGATGACAAATTTTTTTTTTTTTTATATTTTTTTTTTTAATATTTTTTTATTTATTTTTTATTTATTTTTTTATTTAACTAAAATGATAATAAATATACCATTTTCAATATTTTTATTTGATATATTAATAAATATTTAATGTTTTTAAATCTAATTATAAAATTAAAAATTATTAGAATTATTTATTTATTTTTATTTATTAATCTCATATATGGATATTTATTAATTAATTATTATTACAACATTTTTAAAATATGGATTCAATTACCAAATAAATTCATTTTATTTCATATTTGAATGAAATAACATTATTCGAGGAAAAAAATAAAAAAATAAAAAAAATAAAAAAAATTAAAAAAAAAAAATTATAAAAAATTTATTTTTTCATTTCACAATTAATTTTAATTTTTAGATAATTAAAAAAAAAAGATATAAATAAATAAATAAATAAATAAACAAATAAATAAATAATAATAATCAAAAAGGAAATATATAATAAGAATGGAACCTAATACAGTTTTTGGACAAGAAAAATTTACAGAGAGTGAAAGTGTGGAAATTTCAAATATTTTATCACAAAGTTTACCAGAAGAAGAGGCATCATTCAGACCAGGTCCTGGTGGAACGACTGTTACATATTTAGAAAGTTGGAGAGCAATTAATTTAGCTAATAAAATTTTTAAATTTAATGGTTGGAGTTCATCAATTAAAGAATTATCACCAGATTTTATTGAGGAGATTATAGTTCCTGGTGGTGTTAAATATAAAGTGGGTGTTACAGCTATTGTTCGTGTTACTTTAAAAGATGGCACTTACCAAGAAGATGTTGGTTATGGTTGCTCCGATAACCCAAGTAAAGGTACTGCTATTGAAAATGCTAAAAAGGTAAGTTTTTTATTTTTGTTTAAATTGATAATATTATAAAATAGATAAAACTAATATTGCTCTATTTAATTTTTTAGGAAGCAGTATCAGATGCAAGAAAAAGAACATTAAGATTATTTGGTGATGGTCTAGGTAATTCATTATATGATAAAGAGGCCAATAAACAACTCGGTATAACTCTCAAGAACGCCAAAAAAAATGCAGCAAAACCTCCAGCAAAACCAAATACCAGCACTACACCAACACCAACACCAGCACCAGCACCAACTACTACAGCTGCTACTAATCAAGCTCCTGCACCAAAACCAACATCAAACCCGCCACTAAAAAATATAACCAATAAACCATTTGCATTGCCATCTATTAAACAAGCCCCGCAACCACCTCAAATACCTCAAAAACCACAGCAACAACCACAACAACAGGCTCAACAACAAATAGATCAAATTGACATGGACCCAGAGTTTGATTTTGAATAATTTAGTAATATTTCATCTTTCATTTTAAATAATAGATTAAAAAAAAAAAAAAGACAATAACAGCCAATAAACATTATGTTTTTTCAACCCTTTGTATATATGACCAATTTTTCGTTTGACTTTTAAAGAGAAATCCTTTTATTTTTTATAATAATTTATATGATAGTTTTTCAAAAAAAAATATCCACATCCCATTTTTTTTTTTTTTTTTTAAATTTTTTTTTCTTTTTTTTCAATTTTTTTTTATTATTTTCTTTTAATATTAAAAGTTGTGTGCGCAAATATCAAAAATTCCATCACTTTTGATCGTTTTTTGTTTTTGTGTGTGTTTCAACAAATACATAAAAATACAAATATTTACATTAAATAATAATCACAACAACAATCAATTTATTTGAATTAATATTGTTTTTTAATTGACTTTTAAATTAAAAAAATTAAAGCTATTTTTAAACCCAATATTTTTTTTCACACACTTACCCACACCAACAAGTCATCATATTAACAAACCCACCCACTTTTTTTCAATTTTTTTTCTTTTTTTCTATTTTTTCTATTTTTTCTATTTTTAGCAAACACCCATTAAACTTCACCCACACTAATATAAATAACATATGTTTTTTTTTTTATCTATTAAAATAAAAAAGGTTAATAATAATAATAATAATTTACAACAACAATATTATAGATTTAAATTCATTTATTTTTTATCCAATTAATATTTAATAATTACTAAATAAAAATAAATTAAATACAAAAATAAAAATTATATTTTTGAATTTAAAAATTATTATTTCAAAAGCTAATAATTATTACTTAAAAATTATAATATTAAATATAAATAGTAAACAATAATAAAATTATACAAATATTAATATTAATAAATAATAATATTAAAATTAAAATATAATAGAAATTTCTATAAAATGGCACGAGAAGATGAAGAACAATATTGTGGAGGTTATTGGGATATGGCAGATGATTTAGCAGAGGAATTTGATGCTCAAGAAGTTGTACCAAATTTATACATTGGTTCTATTAGTGCGGCAAATTCAGTATCACAATTAAAGGACCATAATATCACCCATATTCTCTCTATTTCTACTAACCCACCCCAAGTTAAGGATGTAAATATTCAAACTAATGACTTTTGTAACATGCATGGTATATAAATACTAATCAGCACCTTTTAATTATTAGGAATTTCAAACACTTTGTATTCATATCGAGGATGAGGCCAAAAAGGACATCTCTAGTTATTTTCAGCAATGTCATGGTTTTATTGAAAATGGTAGAAAGCTAGGAGGTATTTTAATTCATTGTACCGCAGGTGTTAGCAGATCAGCCACAGTTGTAATTAGCTATTTAATGTCAATTTTCTTCAAACCATTTTTAGATTGCTTCCAATACCTCAGAAAAATTAGACCATGCATCCAACCAAACCATGGTTTTATTAATCAACTCATAAGCTACGAAACCCAACTCTTAAAAAATTCAATACAAATTTGTAACACTACCCCCATAGCTTCAGCTGCCAATAATAATTGTAATATAGAAAATGAAAAATCACTTTAGACAAGCGAAAAAAAAAAAAAAAAAAAGATAAAAGATAAAAGATAAAAGAAGCAACATAAAAACAAATACAAAAATAAGAAATGGTTTAGCTAGAGCAGGTAAAAAGATAAAATCGATCAATATTTCATACACGAGTATTAATATACAATATCTTTTGGTACACTTTGCCCTCACTAAACCAATTTTTTTTTGTTTGATTTTTATGATCAATTATATATTTTTTTTTTTTTTTCTTCACCAAATTTCAATTAGTTATTCAGTATTTTAGTATAACTTCGAGTAAAGTGATAAAAATTAAAAAGAAAATAAAAAAATAAATAAGTTTCAAAATTCTTTATTGAAAAAATAATATAAATATTTATAAAATAATTTATTTTATATTTATGCCTTTATTATTAAAATTAATTATCATATTTTAGTTTCTGTTTTTGTTTTGTTTTCTTTTTTTTTTTTTTTTTTTTTTGTAATTATATAACATTTTTTATATTTTTATTGATAGCTATTTGGATTTGAAGTCCATTTGCTTGGATCAACAGATGAGAAGAACCCAAAGCTACTTGAAAATGTTGATAAAAATTCTTTACCTAAAGTATCCATAGATGTGACAACTCTTTCAGTAACCTCTGGTGTTTCTAATAAATTTTCATCATATCTAAAAAGAAGAGAAAGAGTAAAGTTAGTAAGGTAATATAAAATATATTAGTATATAGTTAAATATAAATACTCTTTAACTTCTTCTGGTAATTTTGACTTTATTAAATTTCTTTCTAAAATGCCTGGTATTTCTTGAATGTAATCTAAATATTCGACTTTGTTCCAAAACTTTTCACTCAAAAATGGTGACATTGCTAATAATAAAAACTTTAACCATCCTGAAGGATGTAAAATATATAAATTTTTTAAATTCTTTTTATAGCTAAGTAATGGTAATATAGTATTAGTATAGATTATATAGTGTTTAATATTAATAAAGTAAAATGATGATATTTACTTTCTTGGTAACATTTGATATATTTGATTTAACCATGATTTTTCTGGAGTACTCTCTTGTTTTAATAATGCATGTGAATAGACTATTGAGTATCTATTACCTGTGACAATAGGTTCTAATGTTTTGCTAATTTAATTTATATTAATATTTTTTTTAAAAGAACTTTTATATTTATATATATATATCACTATTTACATTATATAAATTATTAAAGTTTCTAATTGATCAATATTTGGAAATTTTGAAGCATTTGCTAAAAATACAGGTACTCCTTCTTGATCTGTACCAACTTGAACAAAACAATTATTTTCAACAATCCAACTAAAATCAACAGAATTTGACTTTTCCATTAATCTTTGATATTCTGGTGTAATACCCTCCATTTCTTCAATTGGAATGGCGGTTTCGTTATTATTATTATTATTTGACATTTTTTATTGTGTGAATATTATTTAATTATTTTTTTTATTTAATTTTTTTTATTTTTTATTATTATTATTTTTATTGTATTAATATATAGTTTATGTGTTATATTTATGTAATAGTACTATTATATTATGTAGGAATTATGTATTATATATAAACTCTTTTTTTATATTAAAATAAAGTGTTTGCTAATAATTAAATATTACCCTTCTAAAAAATTATTTAAAAAAAATAAAAAAAAATAAAAAATAAAAAAATTTTAATTTTAATTTTTTTTTTTTTATTTTTAATTTTATTTTATTTTTATATTGTGTTGGTGTTATATATCGCATAAAAACGACATAAATAAATATATAAAATTACCATATTAGTCCAACAACACAAAATAAATATTCATCAATAAAAATATATATTCAAATACATAAATAAAATATTATATACAAATTTAATAATTTCAAAGGAACATTGTTTAAATCAAATAAATATAATAAAAATAAACAATGAAACATTTCTTTAAAAATTTGCTTCATTAATTACCCATTTAGAAAATTTAAAAATAATTTAGAAAATATAATTAAAAAAAATATTTTTTTTTTATTTTTTTTTGGATTTTTCTTAAAAAAAAAAAAAGTTATTTTTTTTGGTAATATTAATAGTAAATTAAAATAAATTAAACACCCATTTTTTTTTTTTTTTTTTTTGTTCCAATCTTCATTTTTATTATGAGTAATAATAATAGTAATAATAGTGACAATAGCGATAATGAAAGAAAGGAATACCTATTGGGTTTACTAAAAAAAGGTTGTCAAGTATCAAACAGAGAGAGAGAAGAGTTGATGTTTAAATTTAAAATTACTGACCTCTCAATATTTAGACAAAATAATAATATCAATATAAATAATAATAATAATAATGATAATAATGGTAATCCACCACAAGAGAAATTATCAAATGATTTTTCAAATTTAAAAATTAATAATGATGGTAATAATAGTAAAGAGAATTACCTTAAAAAATATCAATATAGAGCAAGTGACGATATTGAACAAAATCTCAATAAAAAGAATGAGATGGAAGAATTGGCCAAAAAAGAAAGACTTCAAAAAATAAAAGAAATAAAGCAACAACAAAAGCAAAAGCATCCAGATTTATTTAGAGACAATAACAATAACAACAATAATAACAATAATAATAATATTAATAATATTAGTATCAATAACCACACCAACAACAATAATGACCACAGTGATGCTGAGGAAGATATAAATCTAAGTAATGATCCACAAGATTTAAGTGGTGATAGTGATGAAGATTTATTGGTATTGGAGTCAAAAATAATAAAGGATAAAAAAGACTATGCATGTGAAAATTGTAAGTGGTGTGATGGTTTTGAACCATTAAATGGTTTTGGTAATTTAGAAATATGTTCAAGTTGTAAATGTAAATTAATTCACCATATACCTTCCTATAATAATGAAGAGGAGGATGATGATGATGGCGAAGATTATGAAGATTATGAAGAAGATACCGAAGATAGTATTTAATGTAATGGTGATTTAAAGTATTGGGCATTTCTCCTGCCAAGACATGTAAAATCAAATGTAAATAAAGAGCACACCCGCCACTACCAGAACGGTAATGCTAATATACTAAAAATAAAAAAAATAATTTTTTTTTTTTAATTAATTATTATTGGACGTTATGATTGTCATTATAAAGTGCATATCATTTTTCCCTTTAAAAACAATA